CCAACATATAAATCAAGTATGACTAAGGTCTGTGAACAAATATTACAATAATAAATCATAAAATTTCTTCTGACGATGTTTTACTCTTCTTTCTGAACAGCGACCGATGAGACGATGACTGTCGTATTGATGCCTCCGCGAAAATTTGGGAAGTTGATTTTGAGCAAACAACCAAGAATTGATCGTTCAATCTTCAACTCCCTTGACACCACATGCTTTTTTGATGTTTCTGGATTGAGGGCTAAACTGGAGAAGAACCTGGAACCAGATTAGAGAATGACACTCGTTTCAGAACTGACCTGAACTCCTAATATTATGTTAGTGGAAGAAATCGAGGGAGATGAGAAGACTCGCAGATAAACGGATTTCTATGACAATATTAATTTGACTGGATGCCTACGAGAAACATGTCTATTTGTACGCCCTGTAGTGGTAGGTAATTCCCCAAAATTGTTTGCCACAGCATTCATCACTGAATATAGGATGCTGACCCTCACTGTTTAAGTCAACTTGTTTAGCTGAATGCTGTCGGCCAAGCATCCACACCATCTGGCACGCCGTCGCGTTACGTTCATTCGTTCGTGCACGATCCATATCTAGCTAAGCAATCATCTCGCACTCCCACTTGGTCCCGAAATATAACCCGTAATTTAGACGATCAACTGTGGGGTTTTGTTTTACTTTTGTCTACGCGGAAAGAATACTATAGAAGTTGTAGGTGTTAGATCTTGCGTTAGTATACTTCGTACTATCCGTGAACGTCAATACCTTAAGCCTGTAAAGCCCTATGTAAGGGTTTAGTCTGATTGTTAGATAGAAAGGTAGAATTAGGTAGTTTATCTTTAGCTCCCGAAAGTGGTGGTGAAGGGACAATGCACTTCAGAGACGCTGAATGCTCTTTCTACCACATTTCTCAAATGTTACGTCTTTATTTTACTGGTATTACCACTGATGACCCTAAGTTTTTATGAACAAGTTTTTCTTCGTAACCGCTGGTAGTTTAGCTTGCGTCTGCCTTAGATTCATATTCTTGTCAATTAATTCCTCTTGGCTGCGATTTTCATCAAGTAAACCTTCCATAATAGTGAGCTGTTCATGTAGGCATTCATGACAGCAGATTTCTCTTGCTTCGTAGATCAGACACTTCATTCAGCTGCGTGTATATACCAAGGGTCATTAATTCTGGCATCATATCAGACTTTTGTTATTCCGGCAAGTAAAATATGAGCAAGAGACAAGTGTGAAAAATTGGTTCGAATGGAAGACAGAGTTACCAGACTAGAAAAAAGTAAAACACTTCAGCAAAACTGCCATTACGTACCCCCTAGAGCAGTAAGGTCAATTGCATAAGAATCACTATGTAATAAACACTTTTAGGAGAAGTAAAATGTGGGTAAGTGCTTGCCTACTGTGTACTGAAAACCCACTTTCAAAGATCACATGATCAAATATTTAACGAGAGCTTTTGTTTAGGTTGCTAATATTTGCTAGCTAGTTTGATGTTGCAGTTGCAGAAGAAAGATCACAAATACATAATTAGGAGCCACATACAGGGCCACCAGTCATGTTCGCCATCATAAGGTGTCTCAGGTGCCAGCGACGTTGATATTAAGAAGAACACACATCACCGGAGACTATGATAACCAAATCTGAACACATAGCACTTCCAAGTTTTTGTAAACCTTATTCACTCACTAATTTTACTACGACCAGGTATTGATTATCAGTCGCTAGCTTCGTCTTGTATAAACCGTCATTCAAAGTTTCGTAGGCTAGCTTACACGAAAACCACAAAGTTGTTGTAGGGGGTCAAATAAGTTCTGTAAGCCAACCGCACCTGGGCCGTTTCACCGTCCGGGATCAATTTGTTGATGCTTGCAGATTGCAAAACATTGGAGTCAATATAATTTCCACGGGACAAGAGCTCAGCAGCGGCATTGTGGTGTGACTCTGTATCAGTATAATCCGTTCGCATCTTCGCTAATAAATACACCTTCGAGCAGCCATGGGTTATTTTCTCCTTTCGCCAATTGGGAATGTGTTATGAACAGCCTGGCCAACAGTTTAGATAGGTCTGATCAAGGAGTTGACAGATGATATGGCAAGAGCTCAGGTCTCATAGGTTGGATGGACACTCAAATATTTTGGCTGTTATTTATAGCCAAAGTCGTTTAAGTAGCGTAACTGCCTGGTTTTCTTCAGCATCACAAAGCCCAATTAATGTAAGATTCCATAATAAAACCTGATGCAGAAAAAATGAACATCAGTTCATCCACTGAGTTTAAGAACATTACATAGCTGAACGATTAATGGAAGCGTGAGAGGTGAGAGTATTTTTCGTTAGGCTCAGCCATACTTTGTTTGATTCACCCTTAGGGTGAACAACCTAATGAGCAGCACTCGATGCACTTTAAAGTACTACCAACTTGTTCCATAAGAGTACGAGTTGACTGCTTCAAATTCGATGAATTTCGGTTTACAGTTGAAGAACTTGATTGGGTGTAGAAAGTAAGTTGTTACTATTTATCTGGCAAACGCTCTAGAGTCAATAAAGTTCTAGCCCATCCAAAGATTAACAGCCATGTCTCGACGTATCGCTATATTGTTAACTGGACATATATTGCGAAATAAGATGTTGCTTATGCGTTCATAGGCTGAGGATCGTGACGGTCACAAGTAGTACGACATATACTGATGGTGAATGACAGTGATGAATGCTGTGGCTGCTAATTTCTAGGAATTGTCCTACGCTACAAACCTTTAGAGACTGACGGTATTGACGTTCGCGATATGTACGGAACATACTAACGAAAGATCTCACACCAACGACTTCTATAGTATTCGTTTCTCGTGAACCAAAGGCAAAGCAAAACAACAGGAATGGTTGTCCAAATTACGAGATATATTTCGGGACTGAAGCGGAAGGTAAGCTGGCTACTGATCATGCACAAACGTGACACGATGGAGTACCAAATGGCGAGGATGTTTGACTGGAAGCCTTTAGCTAAACAAGTCGACTTAAACACTAAGGGTAAGCATCAAGTGTTCAGTGATGATTGCTATAGTCAATGATTTTGGGGAACTATTTATCGCTACAAACCTATGTTTTACTTTCCTGAAGCTGTCTGTCTTTGACATTCTCATGCGTGTCTCCTGTAGTTGAAACGATGATGTCTACGTGAGTTGAACAGATGACCTCCACTTAATATTTCCCGTCGATAGTGACTGAGGCTTGCTGTTGTTGGTTCGGTATCCTCATCACCTAAGTTTTCCCAATGTACAATTGAAGTCCTATCTTTATTATATCTCCTGCCAGCTTGCTAGTTTGCACCTGCAGATACAGGAGGAAATCTGGAAATCTGCTAGGAATTAGAAAGCCTTTAGGGGTAATAGGAATAAATTATTAAGAAGTTATTAGTTTTTATACGAACACACCTGACATTACTGTTAATAATAAATCAAGCTTGAAACGTTAATCAGACGTCTGTTTTACTGTGATTTATCTAGCTAACAGACAACTACACGGTTAAGGATTGCAATCTGAAAACTATTTTGAATAAATATGGTAATGAAAGTGATTTAATTTCCAATATTTCACCAAACCACGCGAATACTCAATGGTTCTATCCTAGGGCCGTTGATGTTTTTGATTTTTATCAATGACCTGCCCCCCCAACTAAACTGCTCTGCGCTTCTTTACGCTGACGACGTAAAGATTTGGAGAGCAATAAACTCACCGGAAGACTCAGATAGATTGCAGGCTGACCTGCAAGCTCTGGGAAATTGGGCTTTGGCTAACGGAATGCCTTTCAATCTAAAGAAGTGCAAAGTAGTGCAGCTTCATTCCGGCAGGTCACAGAGTGTAAATTACACCCTTGGTGGCCAGAACTTGAGTTGTGTTCCATCAGAGCGTGATCTAGGTCTTATTCTAACAGAAAAGCTAGACACCAGTGGAAATTACTCGAGGGACGTCGCCAAAGCCTACGCAACATTACACTTTATGCACAGGCAGCTGGGAGCTCTCACTCCCGAACTGTTCTTAAGGCTATACAAGGCATATGTGAGGCCACACCTTGAGGTGCATAATATCATTGCACCTCCGCTACTCAAAAGGGATGCTGACATTCTAGAAAGTGTCCAGAGACGAGCGACAAAATGGGTGATCGGCCTCCGCAACAAATCATATGAGGAAAGACTAAAGAAATTAGGACTTTTCACACTTAGTTACCGAAGGCACAGGGGAGACCTCATCACCGTCTACAAGATCCTAAATGACCAGGCCCACCCAAATAAAAGCATCCTGCCATTAAGCGATTATAGGCTTCCACGAGGTAACACGCTAAGGATAGCACACCAGAGACCAAAGACTCGAGTGCGATCACATTTCTTTTCGCTTCGTGTTTGCCGTCTCTGGAACGCTTTATCGGCGGCCGTGACTACAGCGCCATCTCTGGAGATTTTTAAGCGGAAGCTAGACAATCATGCAGAAATGCAAAGTTTGTGTCTCAATGGCTTATCCTCATAAAATTTGAAACCACACTGTCAATGAATAAGCGTACAAACTAAATCCCCACGACCTATTCTGCCTTCTCTCACTCTATCTTTTCCTTAGGTCACCTTTATTATTCCACTTATCTCAACCTATATTATCTACACTACAATCTATTATTATTATTATTACTATTCTGCTTTTATGACTACACCGAATGACCAACGGGAGTTAGGTCAAACTCCATTCACGGCAGCAATACAGTCCTAACATACTGCATACTACAAACCACATCTCGACCAGTCCCCGCACCACTCCTCCTGGAGTCTACCAGAGCTAAAGCAGTCGAGTATCGGGACTTACTACGCAGAAGCTCACCGAATATCTGGAACCTCTACCTCACAATCAAGAAGCGAGCTCAAAGAAATCACTGGTTTATACTAGCTCGTAATCAGGATATTGGATATTGGATCGTTGCACCGAGCTCAATTTGAGATGTGACCTTGTAGATATGCAGAATTCCAATGGTGTACTCAACATCATTCTTATTGGATTTCATCACAGAAAGGGGTCAGTGGTATGTAGCTGCCTTTTTGGGGGAAATTTTATATTAGGTTGAGCTCGTTTATCCCTCATTATATGATAAAGAGCAATCTGAAGTACACCAATTGCCTCGTCCTTGGCGTCATTTGCCTTCTTTAGCAATCGCAGATGGTGCTCATAATTACGTCAGAGGTTTGCGACATACTAAGCTTTTTCACTTGTTGTAGATTGTACGTATTTTACTTTGCCTTCCACCGAGAAGAAAGACGACACTGTTTTTGGTGTTGCGTGCTACAGACAAGCAGATTCAGCTGTAAGTTCCAATATTTCAAGCCTAGTTGTCTGCTGAAAATTTTTACAAATTGAAAAGAACTTTTTTTCGGGTTTTCCAAGTGTTTCAGGTCTAGAACACCACCTGGTGTTGGTAATTAATATTCTACCTCCACCAGTTTTAGGATTTTTATAACCACTTTTTATGTAATATTTCACATTTGTTGGTTGTAGGCACTCTCTTAAGATATTACACTAACGTTTTTGGGGCCATGCATTACAGTCAGAATCCAGGGGAATAATAATGATATTCTTCAACGCCGTGAGTTTTAGTCATGTTGCTAAAATGTCTCGTAATTAGAATCATCGTATGGAACCGCCGGATATTACAAATTATACCATCCTTCTTGACTGAGTTTGGAGTGCGTCCTAGTAAAGTGATTATTGGAATTGATAGGTAAAGTTCATTCGCGTTAAGATTCAAATCAGCAGCTACTTAGTTTTCAGCCTAAAATCTTTTAGATTTAGATTTCATATACTCACGTTATTTTCCTGTTAGAACTCATTTTTTGTGGGCAGATTTTCTGTGCACGAGGCTATGAACCACACTCATTGTGTTGGGGATGCCCAGGCTCCAGTAGGTGGAGCGGGATGTAATCCTGAGACTCAAACTGGAAGTCAACTGCGTAAGCTATGAACGAATCTCCACAAATGGCTTCCTAATTTTTTAAGGAGGGTTGTGCGTAGGTATTTCTTATGCTGTTAGGTAGTGTCTCTTCTACATACTGTGTTAAAATCGATTGATATATGAATTTAATCACTAAAATCTCGAAATGTGAATGTTGACCTTATTACAAGCTTAAATATCCAGTCTAATGAGAAATTACACTTTTTAATCATAAATTTATTGTAAACGTGCTTTTGAAAGATTATAACGCTTTTAATTTTTAGTCATACGTTCAGCCGAACCCTGAAATAACTCGAAATACTGTGCAGAAAAGTTTAGTTGTGCTATCTAGATTTGTAAGTTTTGTGTGGTAACTAATCTAATTTTAACTGGTACAACTTGATATGGTAACTTTATCAATACGTTTACTTAAAGATTGGCTTTACTTTATTGAAGTTACGGAGTCTATGTGTCCACCTATTTAATTTGTAAAAGAAAGCTTCTATGATGGTCGTTGCGAAACAAACATGTACTACATTAATACAATCTATCTGATAGACAGATACTGACTTCTCACTTACTTTTAAGGCGGTCGGACATCTTGTAAATTCTTTTTCCTGAAGAATGGTTTCATTTTGTTACCATAGAGTCTGTCGACTCTTTCACTGAGATCCAATCTGTTTAGAGTATGTAGTTTTGTGCCATATATGTTACGTATTAATTTTTACCAGTTGATGCAATTGAACTAATAGTAGTATAAAAGTAATAACAGTCCTCATTCCGACTAGTTATTTTCTTCTTTTTAGAGTACGTACATTTCTTACTAGTTATAACTGTAGTACTCATTTAGAATGTTATTTTATATGACTGACATAATAAACCCCTGCTTTTGCTTAAAAACATATTTCTCACCTAGATTTGCCACCCGTATCAACAGCCTTTGCAAAGTTAGAAATTAACTGTAAATGATTATGCATTGAATATCTATATTGGAATTACTCAACAAACAAGAATAATACAAGTCAAACCAAACAATGTTGATAGTACACTTCTAGCAACTGGATTTTAAGGAATTACCCGAAGTAATCATTTCGTGAGAGAATATTATCATGGGTAGTAATGATGGAACTTAAAATCATAGATCTGCCAGTCGTCGGTCAGCATATGCTAGGTGGTAGGCAACGAAACTACTGCGTCTGATCTTTAGCTATGTTCTTTTGACTGAAGTCAAAAGACTGAAAACAAACCATAGCTTAGTCTTTACTAATTTTGGTTACTCAGTAGGTTTGATATATATTTTTTCAACACATTGTCAACTGTTTAACTGTTTGAAACTATTTTTTGGCGTGTTTTGTCTCCAGCCGCTTTTTGGCTTTATCGCTCACCATCTCACAAAAATAACTGATTCCCTGTTTACGAAGAAAGGTTTCACTCAGGAAAGTTTACGGAATTCTTTTGGAGAACTAAGTCTTCTGGTAGAAAACGTTTTAAATGATCCAGTATCTTACCAAGGTATGTTGACATATTCGATACGTTTGCTGTGTAATTAGTAAGAGTTTTTAGTCTTTAAGTGATCGACCATTGATTCATTAATTTGTGTTTACTTTTGTGGTTCGGGTAATACAACTTCAGATTGATGAAATGATGAAAGTTGAAGGGAGTAGTAACTACCTTTGGGCTTAATAATAATGCATTTTGGGGAAACCTGGACCATTTTATCACTTAGGCATCCTTTAACTTACCTAAAACGGTTAGAAATTTCCATCGCCACTCCTGTCTCATGTTTTCTTCAAAAATAAAAAACTTTTAAAAGGTGAAATCTATAATCTGTCGACTCCTGTCTAATTTCTGTGTATTTTAAAGTTTTCAGGGGAATATGTACATGTTGCATCCGTTTCTAAGTACGATGAATTTTTGAAAAGGTAACTGCACAACCACAGCACATATATCTATATGCATTAAAATTACCATGATGAAGTTGAAATCTAAATGACTTTTATTTCTACGACTGACAATCGTGCACTAACGTTACCTCATTGGATAAATATTCGTTTCTTTTTTTTAATCTGAGGTCTTAGTCTCCTGTACATTTTTACATTCTCGACAGTTTATTATAAACGACTGATGTCAGTATTTTTACCGAATCTTAAGGAATTAAAACGAAATTTTCGACTGCTAAAATGAAAGTTACTCTGTTCCCCTTACCGTTTGCAACTTTACGTTTTATGAGGAATTCCAACAAATATCACCAATATATGCTTTATCGTTTAGTTAATATTTCGACTATTTTACGATATAAAAATAAAAGCGATTTAATGCTACTGTCATTAAATTTGTATAAGTACGAGCTAAACTCAGTATGAAGTTTTCCATTACCAGATTTTGCTATTACGTGTCTTCATTTATATCACTTGTTCATTAGCTCAAAGCAGGTATTTTGTTGTGATGAACCTTAATGTAATGACTATATATCCGACCCTGGAGAAGCCTGGAAGGATATTCAGTCAGCTATAGATACAGCTGTAAAAGCTGTGAATAAGGCAAATCCAAAGGTGAGTAAAAACCACTGGATTTCGACTGCCTCATCCGAACTGATAGATGCTAGAAGACTTATTCCGGCGAGCTCCGAATTCAATGAGGAGCGAAAGCTGCACAAAAGGAAACTTACTAAAAGTCTCCGCAAGGACCGTGAACAGTGGTGGGTGACAAAGGCAAAGAGATGGAAAAAGCATCGGCGATAGGCAACACTAGGCAACTCTTTAGACTCATCACAGAATCGGGTGGGAGAAGGCAATTCATAAGTGAGACTATTTCTGAGAAAAATGGCTCCTTAATTAGCTCTCAGGATAGACGCCTTGAACGCTGGAAAGAACACTTTGAGGAACAATTTAACTTGCCTACAGCCACACTGAACCTCCCCGCCATCCACCACGTACCCGAATGGGATATAGACACTGGTCCGCCGTCTGTAGGTGAGGTTACAAAAGCTATCAGTAATTTGAAACGAGGCAAAGCGGCAGGACCCGACGGAATTATTCCGGAGGTGTTTAAATATGGGGGTGACATACTAGTTTGTAGATTAACTGAGGTACTAGGCAAAGTCTGGGAATCAGAGACAGTACCATCAGACTGGGGTAAGTCACTTATTATACCGATATTCAAGAAGGGAAACAAGTCCTCGTGTGATAATCATAGGGGGATCAGCCTAACGAACATAGTCTCTAAAATCCTAGGCTCAGTAATCATGCATAGACTAAGCAGAACTCGGGAGGAACAGACAAGGGAAAATCAAGCAGGCTTTAGACCAGGTAGAGGGTGCATAGATCATATCTTCACTCTTCGACAGATTCTAGAACATAGACACACTTTTCGGCGTCCAACAATTGTCATATTTCTTGACTTGAAGGCGGCCTTCGACTCCGTGGATCGAAAGGTACTATGGCAATGTCTGACTGTGAAGGGAGTGCCAAGAAAGTACATTGCACTAATCAAGGCACTCTATTCAAACTCACGTAGTCGTGTAAGGGCTTATGGGGAATTGTCATCTGAATTGGTAACAACCAGTGGTGTCCGACAGGGATGTCCACTTTCCCCATTTCTGTTTAACTTCATCATAGATATGCTAATGGAAGTATCCTTAACTGAACGTAGTGACTTAGGAATCGACTTGTTACCAGGGAATAATCTAATGGACTTAGAATATGCAGATGACATAGTCCTGTTAGGGGAGGATGCTGACAAAATGCAGAGTCTTCTGAACACCTTGAGCAGCAATCTTCGTATGTTTGGCATGCGATTCGCCCCTGCAAAATGTAAGATGCTGCTACAGGACTGGACCCGTCAACCCCTAACTTAGTGATAGGGAGTGAAGTGATAGAACATGTTGACCACTTCACCTATTTGGGAAGTTGTATTAGCACCAACGGACTGATTGGCGATGAAATCTCAGCACGGATCCGAAAAGCTCGAGCTGCTTTCGCTGACTTACACCATCTCTGGCGTAGGCGTGACATCCGGTTATCAACCAAGGGACGTGTGTACTGCTCATCAGTTCGCTCCGTCCTTCTCTATGGCTCTGAAACATGGCCAATACGCGTTGAAGACATGAAAAGGTTGACTGCTTTCGATCATAGATGTCTGCGATCTCTGTCTCACGTTAGGTGGTTTCACAAGATAAGTAATGTTGACGTTAGGCGTAGAGTGTTGGGCAAAGAGGGAAAATCAATCGACGAGGCTATAAAGTTACATAGACTAAGATGGCTAGGTCACGTGCTGCGCATGCCTAACCACCGCCTCCCCCGACGGGCATTGCTAGCTGATATAGGTTCAGGTTGGAAAAGAGCCAGTGGTGGCCAAACAAAAACATGGCATCAATCCATGAAATCCTTGACAGTTAAACTGAGTCAGGTAGGGAGATGCAGACTCCCGGGTTGGGGCCCTCGGGACTCTAGGAATCAATGGCTGGAGACAATAGGTGACATGGCTCAAAATCGTTGTCAATGGCGCAGATGTATTCAGTCTCTGTAATCTTTCATATTCCTTTCTACCATTACCCATTCTGTTTCACTCTTATACTTGTCAAACTCTATTGATTCTCTTCACTCATCTTCTTGTCTACCTCTGTGTGCTATTTGGAACGTGGCAACTCGAACTGCTGCACTTCGGTGCCAAGTTCTATGTTGAATCCAGACAGACAGACAGATATATCCGACTCATTTTATACCAGTTTTGAATACAACGGGAAACCTACATCTTTATACACTCGTGCGGTCAATTGTGTTTGGATGTAATAACTATTGAAAGCGACCTTTTGCTTTCTTCGGATGCATTCATTCTTTTGGTGCTTCGTGATATTGTGTCTACTTGTTTTTTTTCTTTTTTTCCCCCACAGATGCTTTGTTTTGTAATCTGAATGTATCCAACTTTGTTCGTGTATACAAACGTGATGCATTGTGCCTATTTAAATTACTGTTACTGGAAAGACGCGTGCTTTTTACTGGAGATTCCGGTGGGATCGTTTCCAATTGGATACTGACCTTACTTAGTTTATTTCCAGGTGAGTTTTCTTCCCATTAATCTTTATGTAATGGTTGTATTTTTAAATTTTAGTTTATTTTGAGAGTGAGAATATGTATATATTTCGTTGCTACTTGTGCATATTATATTTAACAAACGAAGCATTAAATTCAACGTTACATTTTAACTTCAGTAAAAAATTGACTCTTAAAGATAATCAGTCATCCTTCTTTCTGTTTGATATGAAGCGAAGAACTTCACTGACTCAAAGAGAATCAGTAGTTGTTAATTGTTGCTAGGGTATAAATTGAAGCAGTACTAGACACAAAGAAGTGTACGTAGTGCAAGTAGCTGTACTCAGTTTGACTGACTCATTTCAATTGTGCAAAAGTTAAGAACACAGATTGTTTCATGTAATCTTTAAAAAAATAATATTAAAATCTTTATTCTCGACAGTATTTATAAAATGTATAGAATTTTCAGGGGAGTTTATTGCATCATATTTTCCCTTCGTACAATATCTTCAAGTAAAATACTAATTGACAGTAGATCCTGTGACGCAATAGTCTCTGAGCTGAAGCACAAATCATTCCATTATGATATGTCTGCTTTTTCTCTGTCAAGAAATCTACGATATTTAGTTGAAAGCCGATTGTAAGATGTTCAGAAGTACATTTTGAGACCTATGGATGTAACTAAAGAACAGTTATCTCATATATTGGAACACGTTGACACCTAAAATCAGGCCTTTCCCCAATCTGAGTAAGAACTTGAGAATCAGAAGCTTTTAAACATCTTGAATTCACCCAAGAGTAGATAATACCATTAGAGGTTATTTCTTAATCGATTAAGACAAACCGAACGAGAGAAAATGTATGCAATAGAGAGATGGAAGTTTTTGGTAGCCTAAGTTTTAAGCAGGCCACCAGTGATTATATAAGGTTTATCCCTACTAATAAACATGCCAAATATATTGGCTTCATAGTTTTTAATGAGAAATCTATTCTCAGTTTCGGAACCACTACTTCTGGTTAATTAATTAGTTGACTAATTAATGAGTAGCTATAATGCAGTGAGTCCTCAAGTATTGTACAGATATTCTCCACATATTCAGCAATATTTGTTTTGAACAGTTTATAAAGAGTATCATACTCTGAGGAAACCAGCAAGTGACATCACTAGACAAGCCATTGCTCGAGTGGAACCCGAAAGGGAAGCGGCGAGTTGGTCGTCCAAGGGTGACTTGGAGGAGGTCATGTGAAGAGGAGATGAAAACATGTGGGCAAACTTGGAGCCAGGTGAAAACTCTAGCAGAGAACCGAACGCAATGGAGACGCGCGGCTAAAGCCCTATGTTCCTTTAGGAATTAAAGGAAATAATAATAATCTTAACGACACTTATTTGATGGAGTTCTATTATGGAGAATAACTTTAATCTTTATGTTTTTATCAGTCTAATTGTCGTCTCTTGGTGTGTTTACAACTTATCAGTCTTTGTTTTGAAGATATGAACTAGCTTTACTAATATTTACTTTGATGTAACTTCTACAGATCTGTTACGTGTTGGTTTGTCACAGTGTTCTGTGGTTGATTCATCATGGATATCCGAATTCGATAGTTGGCCAAATGGGAGAAGTAACAACGCTCAATTCGATAGTGTTTCACAAGTTAATACAACTGAACAACCGCCTAGTTTTTTACAAGAATCAGTTTTTCAGAATGACAAAATGTCAAGCAAAAACAGAGATTTTAACCTAATAAAGTAAGTTTATCAACGCCTCATTCTGCTTCTTAATGTAATTTCGCTGACTGTAAGTATGAATGTATTTCACTCCTAACTTTATAGTAGTAGGTGTTAGTGAACAAACACTAGTTTTCCGTAGTAACTATTTCAACATACGTCAATTTCGATACTTCATTGAATAATGATCTCGTGAAATTATCCAAAGGTCTTACTGAACAATTAAAAAAACCCACTTCAAATGAGTAATCAATACGTAGTGTTAACTAATATCACCGAGTAGTACACATCCGCCATAAATGACCTGGTATAGTTGCGGGTCGGTAGACTTCGATCTTTCTCTCGAAATGCTTTCATATTGCCACGCGTTAATTTCCTCTGCCAGGTAAGTCCTGTTCACTGCCTTCACGCGGCGAGGGTGTACTTCATAAAAGTGGAAGGGTGAGTGCGAACGTCATGCTTACAAACGAACTAGTAGGCGTGCTGGTGTATACCTAGGGGAGCTGGAAAACCCTGATTACAAACCTATGGTGTGCCTAGGCTCTAGAATCCTAAAGGATCGAATAGCGTATGGACCTGTTTTGGTTGTAGTTAACCATGAGAACGTAGCTCCTGACGCTGATTCACTGCTTTGTGGGTCATACTTCGAGTTAAAGGCTCTGGAGATGGCCCCTTAAGACAACCACATGATTCTGTGTGGGCTTCTGAACAATAAAGCAGCCCTCTCACAAACTATGACATTTCGCGTGCCCAAAATGTACCAAGTTTGTGTTTTAATAATAATAAACAATTCTTTTGGAAACATGAGCCGACCTTATACTGTATTTTGATCACATCATCATATTACTTAGTTAATTAGTTAAAATCAATTTACGTACTTAATTTAAAGTCGACATGGTGTTATATATTCGTATGGTTTTCTGCTTAATGGGATAAAAAGAAGTGATTTGTAGGTTAGCATGAACCCATTTTACTTCGTAACTTCTCTTCATACACTAACATCTTAAAATTGAAGTTAAATACTACATTTCTCAAGAAGGCAAGATATTTTAAACATATACAGAAGCATAAAAGTAACAGTAAGAAATAGTTATTTATTTTATTTTATTGAAACACCAGCTTAGTATATTTTGGGCACCAAGAGATGAGCCACACAAAATATTATAGTTTGTGGGATGACTGGAATACTGCTCGGATGCCCACACAGAAGCAAGTAGTTGTTTTAACCTCCCAGACTTTGACTTTAAGTCCAATCCCCAAAGCAGTGAAGCAGCGTCGGGGGTTGCATTCTCTTAGTTTCCGGTGATCGAAACAAGTACATACAGCATGCGATCTTTTCGGATTTCAGGGTCTGTGTACAGGGTATTTCGCATCGCCTAGGTGTAGACTCACATGTTCATCAGTTCTGTTGTAAGTATCAAGCGTGCTCTCATTTGCCCTTTCACTTTTGTGAGGAAAACCCGCCCTGAGTGAAGTCAGTGAACAGGACTTACCGGATACAGGCAATGACTACATCACAGCATTTTGAAAAGACTGAAGTCTACGCGCCCTTGGTTGTACCAAGCGGTTTACGGCGCAAAAATAGCCACTGAAGAGAATACTTACACGATCTTTTGCAGGAAAAGAAACAATCACCTGTTTATATGTGATTATTCTAGTACAAATATTTTCTCTGTGTTCCTTTTCAATACTTTTTATATTAAGGAGGAAGAAGAAACTTTGTCCGTTGCACTACTGAACACTTCTTGTTCTGATCCTATTTCAGGTTTGTTTATTTCTTAATGTTGTGAAGCTATTTTGATTTGTAATAGTCATGTTTATCATTCGTGTACACATCAAATCAATGTTAAATGAGTGTAACATATACTGGAAATAAATTTTTACAAATGATTTTGTAAATTCCATTATGGGTAAATTTTTGATTTGATAAAGTCTCACAGTGTTATACAGTAATGTTTACTGATGACGTTTCGAGCACAATTTATTGCTCATAATCATATCAAGGTATTCACACGACTTCCTAACTTCATTTATATAGTTCCATTATTTTTCACTTGATTTGATTGGTAATAGTATTTTCCATATTTCAGGTATGAGTGATGACTCATTCCTATTGCGTGTGTTTGGTGTAGACTCGATGAGCAAGAATTCAGTAATCAACCTCTCTCTCCACCTATCTAGATTACTTTTTAGAATTTTAACCGTCTCTCACCCTATTGTGTGGTTGTGTGTTAATGCATGCATTGCAATTGCTGAGCTTTTTTCTAAATTACTTATCTTTTCAGGGTCAACCATTCTTACCTTAGCTAAATTCTTATGTTCCGACAATCTGACTACCCCTGACGTACTAGTTTGACCTATGTAGTTGACCTCACAGTCATAGCATGGTATTTTGTAAATTATATTATTTTGTCTTATTGGTCCTTTAACCTACACAGCTTGTCCCTGAGTGAGTTTGTAGGCTTAAGTGCCACCCTAATTGCTGCTTTATTTAGAATCCTATGTAGGGTTTCAGATGTCCCCTCTTTATATGGTATAACTAGATGACTTTTATTCTCTCTTATTTATGTTATTATTAATAGTTTCGCAATTATTTTTATTTTTCGTTTGGCCTTTTTTGATCTTCCTAATGAATTTTAAAGGATAGTTATTGAACACCAAAGCCCCTTCTATCTGTTTTAGTTCATCATTTAGGTCTTTTCTTCTGCTACTTAGTGCTACTGCTCGGTTTGTTAAACACTTAACTAAGCCTGCCTTAACAGTTAACGGATGAGATGAATTAAAGTCTAAGTATCTATTAGAATGAGTTGGTCTTCTGTACACACTAGTGTGCAGTTTACCTTCTTCTATTCGTTTTATTTTACAATCTAACATAGCTAATTCTCCTTGTTCATTTTCCGATTCAAACGTGAATTTTATTCCCTCCACTAGTGAGTTTGTATGTGACAAGAAGATAGAGATATATTTTGTTTTTAACACTGTGAAAGTGTCATCCACATATCTCCACCATATGTTTGGAGCAGGATTAAATGTATTAAGAGCCATATTTTTCCAACTGTCCATAAATATATCTGCTATAATAGGGGATATTGGTGATCCCATTGCTACACCTTCTGTTTGTCTATATATTTTACCTTAAGATATGGAGATATGTCGTGTGAATACCTTGATATGATTATGAGCGATAAATTGTGCTCGAAACGTCATCAGTAAACATTACTGTATAACACTGTGAGACTTTATCAAAACAAAAATTTACCCATAATGGAATTATATTCTACCACAGTGCACAAGTTGTATTATATCAATTATTTTGTAAATGTTATAGAGAATAACTATAAATAAGTAAATCCCATTCACCACCTAAATTCAAGGGAAAAAAGTTGCCGGTGATTGCATCGAATGTAATCAGATTCATAAATGTTTCTGTCTGATTAAATGTTTCAATAACTTATTCGAATTCACCAATGATAACAGATAGTCAACACAGGTAACTCGCACTGACTGGCTGAATTACTTAAAAGTAGGTCGTTGAATCCCAGTAAGTTCACAAGGATTGTAATGCTTTGCATTGAAACCTATAACCACATTCTACGCCCTCTGTCAGTGTGTATCGAGAATGTTCAATGCTCAGATTGAAATATTTATCCAATTTTTTTTCTGGTCCCAGTGGTATATTGATTCGTTTCAGCCTTAGTTAAGTTAATCTGCGAAGAGTGATTTGATACCAAGTTACTAAACTTTCTACTAAGTAATAAAAGCTCAGCTTCATACTATAATGAAAACTATTTTAAAAAAATGAGTGACGATGGGTGATTTTTTTCAAGTACAGTTTTATGCTTTTCTGTTTTTATTCATTAGGTCTTAGTATTTTTTTTGGATAACTTTTTTATTTTGGCCTTTGAGAGTGGAAGACATGAAAAGATTAGCTGTCTTTGATCATAGGTGCCTGCGCTGTGTCTCCCGTGTGAAGTGGTAGAATAAGGTGAGCAATATTGAGGTTAGGCATCGGTCGAGTGCTAGGTGAGGAAGGGAAATCAATCGACGAGGCTGTGAAGCTACATCGACTGAGATGGTGAGGACCTGTGTTACGCATACATGTCTAGTCATCGCCTTCCTCGACGGACAAGCAATGTTAGCTGGCTGACATAGGGTCAGGCTGGAAAAGAGCTAGCGGTGATCAAACAAAAACATGGCCTCACCAGTCAATGAAATCCACAACACTTAGTTTAATCCAGTCACGTGGGAAGGTGTAGACATCCTGACTGGTTGGGGTCCTCAGGACGGTAAAAACCAATGGTTGGAAACAATTGGTGACATGGCTCAAAATCGTTCTCAATGGCCGTTGCAGATGCATCCACTCCTTGTGACTTATGATTTCCAATGAAACTGTTTTGTTCTTCGCTATTACTCCTCTTTTGTCTCACACCTCTGTTTACTGTCCATATTAAACATTTCTTCTAACTTCTTCTCTTGCTTTGTGTGCTACATGGAGGGAGTGTGTGATTTGAACTGATGCATATCGGTGCAAAGTTCTATGTCGAAAACAGACAGACATTCTGCAGAAAAGTAGGTAGCATTCTAATAGTTTATTGGATTTTGTACCATATATTTTCTTTACTAATTGAAATCTATAAGCATAGTGTTTCAGATACGATTTGTTATCTTTAATCATACAACACAAACGTCTAACATACAAACAAACAAACAAACCTAACATGAAATTTTACTCTTTCAATCTAAATTTTATTTCTGTATTATTGAATACTGTTTGTTTCTTACCAATGATCAAACTATATCTAAGTATTGTGATAGTCACTTGATTACGAAAATATTCTTTGTTTTTGTGAGACTACCTATATGTGATTGCAGTTGGCAGATTAATGCTTATTTAAGAGAACGGTGTTTGATCTAAAAAATAGAAAACAATTTAGCCTACATGATGTTCAAGTCTTACCGGTACTTTAGTTTTTTGCTTTTTAACACTTCAGTCAGTCGTCGTCATCCCATTTTAACTTCTTTTCTTCTAGGCATTTGATTTTATCTTGCCTTGAAATTTAAAGTATTTGTCTGTCTATCTGTTTTCGACATAGAACTTCGCACTGATGTGCGCCAGTTCAAGTCGCCACACTCCATGTAGCACACAAAGCAACAGAAGAAAGTAGAAGAAATGTATAATAGAGACAGTAAACAGAGGTGTGAGACAAAGGAACAGTAATAATGAAGAACAATATAGTTTCATTGGAAATCATAAGTCATACGGAGTAGATACATATGCGCTATCATTGAGAACGATTTTGAGCCATGTCACCAATTGTTTCCAACCATTGGTTTTTACCATTCTGAGGACCCCAACCAGTCAGGATGTCTACACCTTCCCACGTGACTGGATTAAACTAAGTGTTGTGGATTTCATTGACTGGTGAGGCCATGTTTTTGTTTGATCACCGCTAGCTCTTTTCCAGCCTGACCCTATGTCAGCCAGCTAACATTGCTTGTCCGTTGAGGAAGGCGATGACTAGACATGTATGCGTAACACAGGTCCTCACCATCTCAGTCGATGTAGCTTCACAGCCTCGTCGATTGATTTCCCTTCCTCACCTAGCACTCGACCGATGCCTAACCTCAATATTGCTCACCTTATTCTACCACTTCACACGGGAGATACAGCGCAGGCACCTATGATCAAAGACAGCTAATCTTTTCATGTCTTCCACTGTCATTGGCCAGGTCTCACAGCTGGCCATAAAGTAGGACGGAGGAGACTGTTGAGCAGTACACCTGCCCTTTGGTCGACAGATGGATATCACGTCTATGCCAGAGACGGCGTAAACTAGCATATGCGAAACTAGCCCTCTGTATCCGTACTGAGATTTCGTCAGAGATCAACCTGTTGGCACCGGCTGATGGTACTTCCCAAATAAGTGAAGCGGTCAACGTGCTCTACCACTTCACTCCCTGTTTCTAAACTAAGAGTCAGTGTACCACAATCAAACTACTTCTGTGATGAAAGCCAATTAGTGATAAATGCTTACTGGAGGTTTTATGATTGTACATGCATAGTTAGTTAAGGATAAGGCAGTATTAGTAGTAATGAAATTTTGTCTTATGACAATAAATATTTACACGTGTATATCACGTTAGTTCTAATATTTTTTTATTGACTCACAAGACTGATACTGACACGTGTTAGAAGTTTATGCCAGTCTATTTTAATATATTACTTGTTGGAGTATTTGGACTTTTCTCTCGTTTAATACGCTTTTGACTTCCAAAAAACTTATTTGTCATATAACTTTTATCTTCTGCAGGATAGTTTTGAAACCTCTGATTTAAATATATTTGAGTTTTACTCAAGCAGAGTAGTGCGTCGGTGGCACAGTGGATAGGACACTCGCCGACCATGCACATGGTCCGGGATTCAATCCCCAGCCACAGACGCACTCCTTCACCTCGCTAAGCCAGAAATATTACTTGTAAAGAGGAAGGGTTGGGCATGAGACTAGCAACCCCATCATGTAAAAATAAACACTGCCACAGAAACTTCAAGCCACTAGCTTGAGGCTATATGTTCCACTGGGGAACGTGAAGGAAAAATTATTATTATTTATTATTAATATTAATTGACTCCATCTGTTTTATGCATTCGTACAAAAGCGAAGTGCTGATCACTTCCACCAATTACTCACCATTATTACTAATCTATAACTGTTTTATCTGTTTCAGTTTAAGGCACTTATCCTTCTTCTTCTTCTTTAAAAAAAAACTGTTTGGTATTTAATTATTTTGTGTGAGCATCAATCAGTTAACGATTTTGAGCTGCCATTATTTTCGTGATTTCTCAGTCGGCTTTAAGCTGTTTGTATTTTGCCCTTAACTTATGCGTTAAGTTTACACCTTAGTCACTGATCGAATTGATTTTCAAACAATAATTCAAATCAACAAATTTGTCAGTTGTGAGTAAGTGTATCGTGAACTTTCTTGCTTTAGTCTACTTATAAACTAAATAGTGTTTTTGGGATGGGGGTGTGACGTTAACTGTGACAGTTGAACTAGGATTGGATTAAAAATGGCCTCAGGGATGGTTAAGCTAAAAAAATGTTATTCAAGTGTTGGTTTGTGGGGATTCGATTGGTTATAGGATTTCATCATGAGCTGACATTGGTTAGAGAACTATTGGAAAACCAGCTGGGAGTACTGGACAACCATCTTTTTCGTCCTAGTTTGGGACTCTCCACCAGTACGCACCCACCGACAGGGCTCGAACCCGGGACCTTTTGACTATAAGGCCATTGAGCTCGTAGACCATTAAGCCACCGGTATGCGATCCAATGGCCGGTGCATAAATTCTAACTTCTGCCAATTCACGATATAGCGCGACCGCTAGCCAATGTCATCGGTGACGAATATTTATCCTCACACACCCGACTTACTGCACCCTACTGGTCACGACTTCTCACTAGAAACCCAGGTAACTACCTACATGAATAGGGCAAGTCATGAGCCCATTGACTGTTAGTCAGAATAATGTTTTGAAGTGTTGGTTGATTTCGCTAGAGGTGTTTGATGTGCTAAGAACCAATGACTGATGACTCTTTGTAATATGGCTCGGAATCGTTTAAAGTCGTGTATATATATTTCTTATCATAGCCCAGGTTCTGAAAATGGCTTCTAGTAGTCATTCAGACCATTCCCTCTCTCATACATCTCTGTGTCATCATATTTCTTTCCTCTACTTTTCTTACCTCTTTCAAAATGTATCTATTTGAATTGGTACACTTGTGCAAAGTTATGCGTTGTTTCGTCAGTTATTCAAGGAAGTTAACTGGCTTAAATGTGTTATAGCCGAAGAAGCACTAAAGCACCAGATAACTGTCTGTTTATTGTTGTTTATTTGAAGTTGGATGATGACGAAAAGTTCACCAGAGATTCTCATTCAATAGGTCATCAGTTTGAAACATCCATCTACCCAGCTCTGGATAGATGAGTGGTAAAAACTGCCCTCACCCAATAGGTTTACCTCATAACCAAGCTTACGCATACAGACATAGTTTTGAATCGCTTAATTGTAAACGTTTCGTAACCCAATAGTGGTTGTGGTAGAATGATAAAAAGAAATATTGAGGAATATACCTAGCTAATAAATTTATTTCTAGATTATTTTCTTCACCGGTTCGTTCATTTTGATTTTAGATAAAACTTCTTTACCACAGAAAGGTTCAACTACGACTGTGAATCCAACTCATAATTTGGAAATAGTCAAATTGATGCCTGCCACTGATACCCTACAATTTGAACCAAAACAACCGCCGTTATGTCATTCGGATAGAAGTCATCCAACTACCGGTGCATCTGAAAAACTTACAAATACTTCATTATCTGAATTCTCATTATACTCACCTTTTCCAACTGATGATTGGGGATTCCCTTTATCATTATTTACAAAAGTAAGTCGTTCATTACGTAATCCACTTTTTACTTCTTTTTAAGCCTATTATGTGACTTCTGTTAACTATCAACTGTTGATAACCTCAGCCGGATTACGTTGTACTTTATTTGGCATTCACCTTAATCATGGCGTAGGAGTAAATGTGTTGAGTGTTTGAATTATCGATGCATTATTACATAACTATCCATATTGTGGGATAACTAATTACCTTCACAAATATAAACAGAAGTAGAATGGCATATTTTGATTGTTTAATTTTTTGAGTATTGTTAAAGCATGCTCCCAAAATATACCAATTTGTATGAGCCCTACTAGGATAGAGATAAAACGAAGCATTTCTGATGTTATGCTCCATATATGCTAACATGACACCATGAAGATGTAATTTTATATGTTTAACTCTGAATCCTACTGCTTGGATATGACTATTGAACAACATTTACTGCCACAGACACTCACGATAGTGAAAATTTGAAATATAATAATAAGTTCATGTCTCACCTTCAACGTGAATGATTTTGAGCTATTTTCACTAAAGTTCCCTAACGATAACTGTTAGCATAGTGTGTACCTCTAGCTAAACAACTGAAATTTGTTTAGTTACGGGATTTCATCATGAGCTGACATTAGTTAGAGAACCATTGGAAAATCAGCTGGGAGTACTGGACAACCATCTTTTTCGTCCTAGTTTGAGACTCTCCACCAGTACGCATCCACCGACAGGGCTCGAACTCAGGACCTTCTGGCTACAAGGCTATTGAGCTCGTAGACCATTAAGCCACTGGGACCCGATCCAATGGCCAGGTCATGAATTCTAACGATGTAGCGCTATCACTAGCCAATGTCTTCGGCGACCCGACCTGCTGCACCCTACTGGTCATGAATCCCCATTAGAACCCCAGGTAACTACCTACCTGAATAGGGCCAGTCGCCACTGAGCATTTCTGCAAACCATTACTTTAACGTGTTAAGTTGACTCAGACTAACAGTCAACAACTTTGTGGACTAGTGTCATATTTCAGTTTAACCACCAGAAACTGTTACACTATAGCCTTATTTCAGTTAATATTGTTTGTAAAACAGGTCAGTATAATTAACGTATATCCCAGTAGTCCTAGTGGTTGACGGTTCACAACTTATTTGACTGTTTTACCTTCATTGTGTAACGTCATATCAAATGTCAGTAGTAGTTATCATGTTGCTTTCCTTTACGTAAGCAAATGATCGAATGTGCCTATGCTTAAAATCCTGTAAACCTCTCGTATTTTCTACTTTCGATGGTATCGTTTAACTGATGGTAGTCTACACATCTTTCGTTTGATACTCATATTCTTTGTTAGTGTCAAAAGTGGTGGAATTCGGCAAATGTCAGACGAGTCTTTTTTTATATCTCTTTTGAGATTTCTTCATCAGTTTCAGCATCTCTGTTTGTTGCCATTTCAGGTAACAAACTTTTCGTAAACCTTTTTTGAATGACTACTGCGTGAGTTCACTTAAAGTATTTTGAGTAACAAAATGTGTTTCTTCAGTACTATCTTTACAGATCACCTCTAGATCAAGGGAATCGAATTCCATCCTCAGATTGAGAATTATTGAGAACATGAGTTGCTTGGTAAGTATGCATGTGTTCCAGATCCATGGTGGAATCATGCGTGCATACACTACTGTAGAACCCCAAACTAGGATGAACTGGCTGTCCGGTGTTCCCTGTTTTTTAATGATTCCCTAAATGATGACAGTTGGGGTGACAAAATATACCTCGATATCCCTTTCTGACAGTAAGCACAACTTTATCTTAACCTCCCCCCCCACTTCTCCCAACTTATTGTAAGTAGTTCATATTATTGGGCTTGTAGTTTTAGCGCTATCTGATTTACCTTTCTGGTATGGAAAGAACTGTCGAATGGCTATTCCAGATGGCGTTGCTTGTTAGATCACTGAGATCTTAAACAAATGCGGATACTAGTCATCAAAAACCCTGTTGTTAGAAAGTTTCTTTGAGGCTTTTATACATCAAACAAATACACCAAATGAGGTGATATGTCTGCTTAATTAGTGACTAAATGAGAATAATTCATATACTCAGGCTGATAAGCAGCAGTAGTATTTATACATGATTCGTATAGTCATTAATGCTTAATTTTTTCCCTTCACGTTCCCAGTGGAACAAAGGGCTTCAATCTAATGGCTTGAAGTTTCTGTAGCAGTGTTTATTTTACAGGATGGGGTTGCTCGCCTCATGCCCAACCTTTCCTCTTTACAAGTATTATTTCTGGCTTAGCGAGGTAAAGGAGTGCGTCTATGGCCGGGGATCGAATCCCGGACCATATGCATAGTCGGTGAGCATTCTAACCGCTGTGCCACCGACGCACCACAAGGACTATCTGAAACCTTGAAGGAACTCGTGTCCCTTCTGAGATTCGAACCACGTCACCCAGGGCTACAGTCAGAGACGTTACCACTGAGCTATGCGGGCTCCATTAATGCTTAAATGTTAAGTATTCGTAGTTGTAATTAATTAGACCTTATGCTTTTATTAGCGTCCTGTCACTTAGTAAAAATAATTTATTGTACTCTGTGAATCTTTTCAGTGGTATTGAGATCACATGAAAAAATGTTCATGTTGGTAATGGCCTATTGGGAAGAAATATCTTAGATGTAAATACAAATTAACATTTATGATTGTTAGCTATGTACCTCATCTATGATGTGCAAAGTAGAGATGCCAACTGTTAGGAATAAAATGGGCCTAATTGATTCTTAACGGTTATCAGGTTACTGAATTTAAAATGCGTAGAATACTGTTTAAGAATCCTAAAATTTAGGTAAGATAATTACATTCATATTTAAATGATAATAATATAATGGCTTTATCCCAAAGCATTGCGTTTGATACAATACGGAATTTTCAGCATATAGTACAATATTGCATCCAATTTTCCCTTTGACACTACATAGTAAGGAGGAAATAATTAACAGAGGGTCTGCACTGATAGTAATGTCAATAAGCATACGGATTTAAAATAAAAATAAAGTAGGAATACTTAAGTATTGGGTGTGGGATTTGATTGATTGTTTACAGGATTTCATCATGAGCCGAAGACATAGACTAGCGGTAGCGCTATATCATGTATTGGGAGAAGTTAGAATTCATGGGCCATTGAATCGGGTCCCGGCGGCTTAATGGTCTACGAGCTCGCTGACCTTGTAGCCAGAAGGTCCTGGGTTCGAGCTCTGTTGGTGGGTGCGTACTTATGAAGAATCCCAAACTAGGACGAAACAGCTGTCCAGTACTCCCAATGGTTCTTTAACCGATATCAGCTGATGATGAAATCCTGTAACCAAAGTAGAAATACTCACATAAATATATTAATGGAAAAAAGAAGAACAGAAGCGGCAAGCTGGTAGTTTCAAACCTATTAATAAAGCATAATCCAAGGTATTTAACATTTGACTTAGTTTAAACTTCAGTGTCTTTTTAAGACTTAACGAAAATTACTAGTTGCTTGTGATTAACATATAACTGTTTATTATGCTTAGGGTTCCTAATACCTTTTTTATGAGTGTAAGTTACAGCTAACGAAGTATTTTTGTAATGTTTTTCTCCAGTCTTATTTAGCGCCGATATATATTCCCCTTGGTTTACTGGATATGCTATTGCAGCAATCTAGTTGCCTGTCCACACCCAACTCAAATGTTGCTTCATCAGTAGACAACAACAACCACAGAATTTTAACTGATCGTTCAGTTCGAGGCTTTATAGCCGGTGCTACAAATCCCTTATTACGATCAAATAAAAATCTGACAGAGGTATTTGTTTCATCTTTATCACCTGTTGAAGGTATTTCTGACGCTTACTTTCCACACCTGTCTGAGTTAACTTGTGCATTTAGTAAGAATTCAGTCAATGAAACAGACAATGACTCATTGATGAATATTGTTGGATCTGAAAATAATATAAAATCTGTTAATTCAAGTTATAATGACAAAAGTGGTAAAAGCTTGGGCTCAAAATCCTCAAATGTTTCTCGGCCGTTTTCTTTGGTAAGTGTATAATAACTAGTTTATGTATGCGTTGTCTTTTTGTTTTCAAAATCTTATATTCACTTGGTCAGAAATTAAAGCAGCGAAGTCTTCTTTCCTGAGTAGTACTTTCGTTACTATTTGTGTCAGTCATACACTTTTTATTATTATTATAATTAGTTATACTCTGTCACCAAACATTGGTTTCATTGTGGAACTCTCTGTAACATCATCATGTATGTGGGGTTACCTAGCAACAGTTTGCTGATTTAAGAGATTTTCATTGTTTTCCCATACGCTTTTAGTTTTATACATGTTCATCGTGCACAACCTTACAGACGTTTTGTTCTTTGGGGGATAGTGGCTGGCACCGGAATCCAGGAGGTAGAATTCGTCCTATTTGGAACTCACTGATTGGATATACCTTCACATCTAGTGAGATTGATGACAATCCCCTCCAAGACTCGAACCTAGCACCCATCATTTCAAACGCCAAAGCGTTATTCACTAGGCCACTTGGGAAACAAGAGCCACCTCTGGTAAAGCAGGTATAAATTATTAGTTATTTGGTTCAATTTTTATATTTCACATTTGAAACGATGGGAGGTGGGTTGTGTGGGACAAAATGCACATCCGGGATTCTGATGCTAGTCATCATCCACCGAATAATAACATGCTAATCCTCAGACATTGATTGTTGAAGCTTCTATACTAGAAGCCGACATGTCAAGAGACACTGAGCATTTCTGTACAATATCAATAGTCGATGGAAAATACAGAATTAGATTAAACTTACAGATTTAATTGAATTTTAGATCGAAGTGCTCGGTCTCAGGTTGACGTGTCGGCTTCCTCTGCAGATGCTTCGACGATGTCTGGGTATTTAATTAGAATTTAGTTGGTGGATGGTGACTAGCAGTAGAATCCGGGATGCGCATTTCGTCCTGTTTTGGACTCGTCGTCTGGATGTACCTACATTTCTCAGTGAGTGATGATGTTCGCACCGAGGCTCGAACCCGTTGCACAAGAGGTGGCTCTCGTGGCCCTTGTGGTCTAGTGGATACGCTTTCGCTTTCGAAACTATGGCCACTGGGTCCGAGCCTCGGTGGGAACATCATCACTCTTTGAGAAATGCAGGCACATCCAGATGACGAGTCCCAAATAGGACGAAATGTGCATCCTGGATTCCACTGCTAGTCATCATCCACCAATTAAACTTACAGATGTCTATTTATCCCTGTGTCAGAAATTTTTATTTATTGTTTAGTTATTACGTTCGCTTAAGACTTGTGATCAAATCTTCATGGCTTAAATTACTTTTCAACCAGAGTAACGCTATAACGTTGTCTAAGGGCAAATTTTGTTGACAGAATAAAAATCATTTTTGTAAATACTTCAAATTTCCATCTGAATGCTTCTTGCAATGTTAGTTGTCGTATTTCAACAGTTTCAGCTCATTTTTTTCAACATCCTAAATGTAGGCTTGGAATTCAACGAAGAGGACATTTTAGTCCGTACTATTACCTATCACATAGTACTAGCATATTGTCTCATTACGCGTTTGTATTGCATTATTCATGGACGACTCCCTGAAAGAGTTAATTTTTTCAACTACCAGTAATCCTTTTTATGAGATTTTTGTGTTTATTTTCACTCTTGTTTTTATTCAAGCCAAAAAGATCTCAACCGGTTATTCAAATTAATTCAGAAAACACCTCAAATAAGTATTCAACCAATCCTCGGGCTATGCCTATCCCATTAAATCGAGCAATACAATTAAGTCGGATAGACAGATTATTCATTGATCATTTAATATCAACTGTAAATATGTGGTTTTGTGCTCAAACAGATTACTGTCAACAGTTATCGTATAAAATGGGCAAATTAATTACATGCAATAATACCCTTCATGGATTAAATTCATCCAACCAATTAGATGAAGATGTTTTACAACTACTTCCACCAGCACAGAGAACATTCCTACTCAGATTTCCATGTGAGTGAATGTGAATACCTTTCAAAACACTTTACCTACCAAGTTTTTACATTTCTGTTCTTTATGTATTTTTTTTTGTGAGTAATGATCACATCCAATACTCTCCTTTATTCTCGGGGTTTGAATTTAAGCCTTGCAACTTAAGAAATTAATGTTTAGCTTTCGCAAAATTAGTAGGGAAGGGAGAAAGGCTGGTACAGTCAGAATTAGTTTTCATTGGGACAAATTACGATGCATATAAACAGATCGTAAACCTTGGTCTCGTAATTAGCGAGTATTAGTCATCTTGTTCTTGTCTGTTTATTGATAGATTGTATTCACCGTTTTTGCCTCATTTCATATCCTTTTCATTAGTTGTCGCAAAAATTATCATTATTTTTCTGAAGACGTTATACGATATGCAACAAACACTACAATAGCGTACTAGTCAGTGCAAATTCTTGTTGAAATTCTTAACTGTTTTAACGCTATTGTTTGTCATGATTCTGAAGTGACTCACTACAGTTTTCCTGAACTTATTTCTATTGTAATACTGGACATGTGCCCACCACTGTATGATTCTTATCACTTCACACTATGCCAGTGAATCAGGACAGAGATTATTTCAAAGATAGTCAGCATACCTATTGTATTCAATAACATTATTTTCGAAATTTTCGGGTTTTATTCAGTCTAAATTATTTTCCTTTCTAAGTTTTAACAAAAAGGGTGTTATTCATTTGTAGTGGGGCTTTGGTACTTGCGTTTTGCTCAGTTCCAGATTAGTATTTATGTATGCTTTGTTAAACTTAGGTATCACTTTCAGTGTAGATTTCGTCACGAATCAACAGCAGTTAGAGACCATTGATAACTAAGGAGATCTGGATAGGTGTTTCTTTCTAGTTTAGGACTCTGCTGCAGTGCATACTCAGTGACTCTTTCAGGAATCGGACTCCTGACCTTCAGGTTACGAAGCCAAGTTTGTTAACCATTCAGTTACTTGAACCAGAATCCAATAACCAGTGAAATTCCAAATTCTGTTAATTCATGATGTAGCGCTATCGCCCTTCTATGAGCATCCACTTCACTTTGATATGATGTGCTCTACTGACTACGACTTCTGAATACAGCTTCAGGATGTTTCTCCAGTAGCCGTCCCACTTTAGGATGAAACAAGCTTCTGCCAGTGCTCTCTGGTCGTCAATAATCTCAAAATCATGTTGGCCTATGACAAAATCTAAATTGAAATTAACCCAAATCCCTACAAAACCCATAATATGACGTACTGCTTATTATCGGATTATGTCAGACTTGAAATATCAATACAGTGTTTACGAATTGGTAGAGAAATCGACGATAATGGAATTCAAAAAATCTCTATGTAGATTAACGGGAAACGAGAATTTTACAATTAACCATTCAAAATTTCATTATGAGACTGGTAGGTTACTTAGCAGATATTGGTAACTTATTAAATGCGATCACTTCAGCGTGGTTAGTATTCACCATTGGTTTCTGTGAGTAGTTTCTAACTCCTCAGATCAACCAGTAGTATACGCGCTATATTCTGATTTCACATGCCTTCATAATTTCACTGGTGCTATCAGGCAGACCACGTATCTGAATATTTTACGTTTTCAGAAGGAATCCCGATAAATTTTAACGTCGAACAGCGTAATATACATAATGACTAATTTGAATGAATTAATCCATGCATAATGATATGTGTAACGATTAACGTTAAAATAGGTACTCATATTTATGGAGTTTGTGAAGTAATATAATGGCTCTCATGCATATTTTCATGATTGTTCGAGTTTCATGTATATTTAAGTTTGGTACAAGTTGGTCACGTCAGGCGAAAGTAGTTTTGATCAATTCTGCTAACTTTTTCATCACAACATTTTTAGCCTTTCATATAGTTGGGTTGGATAAGAGTTAGAAGTGATCAAACCAAAACCTGGAATGAATCCATGAATCCACAGCTGGCTTAAAACATGAAGGGAGGTGTAGACTACCTAGCTGGTTCGGGTTCTTAAGATGCTAGGAGATCATTAGTTTGTTATTATTATTGTCCCCTCGGGTTCGTAGTGGAACATAGGGCTTCAACTACACGTCTCCACTTGCTTCTGTCTTCCTTCTGCTGTACTTTTCACCTGCATCCATGTTAGTCCATACTGTTTCAACTCCTCTTCACACGATCTCCTACATGTCACGCTTGGACGTCCCTCACCACTCGCCGCTTCCCTTTCGGGTTCCACTCGAGCAATGGCCTGACGCCCGATGTCACCCAGCGGTCTTCTCAGCCAGCGAGTGTCCAACCCATCTCAATCTACTTTCTCCTGCATATTTGTTGGGCGATTGGTTCTTGCTTTGTTTGTTCTCATTGTTTCTTGTTGGTGATTCTTTCCGGCCCGGCCATCTGATCTTCACTATAGAACGAAGACAGTTAGTTGTTCATAAAGGTAACGTCTGCAACAGGCTGTTGGAAATATTCTTTGTGACCCGCCCGCCAAGTTTGTGATCCGTATAGAAGAAGTGCCTGACTTGACGTTTGTATTGAAAATCCGAATTTTGTTGTTGTTGTTGTTGATGCTGAGTGACGAAGATTTCCAGATTGGTTTCAAGTTGATGAATGTGTTTCACGCCTTCCCAATTCTCGATTTGACATCCTCGTCCGTTCTGACTGCCTGTAATTGAAACTTTGCTCCCTAGATAAGTGAATGAAGTATTATCTTTCAAATCCCTGCCGTTGATGATGATTGGCCCTGGATATTGCTGTTGTTGTTGGTTGGTTGGTTATTTTCATAACCTCCGTCTTGTCTATGTTCACCTGGAGTCCTGTCTTCGCTGGCTGCTTCTTCGACCAGTTTGTCGGTTTTCGCTTGTAAGTCTTCGATTTTGTGACAGTGACATCAAACATAAATCATCCACGCGCGAAATCCAGGTCTTCTAGGTTCTTCACGTTGGTCCTGGACATCCGTGTCTTCTCGTTTCACACTGTCTGACGCATAATCCAGTCCACCACAATTAGGAATACCATTCATTGGTGATAATAAGCACCCTTGTCTGACTATTGTGTTTACTGCAAACGTCTTGCTGAGTTTTCCGTTGTGGATGACTTGACATGTTCCGTTGTCGTACAGCTGTTGAATAAGGTTGATGAGTATTTGGAGTACGCCGTAGTACTCGAGTAGTTTCTGAATTACTTCGCGGTCAACGCTGTCGAAGGCCTTCTCAAAGTCTATAAGTTTGAGGTAGAGGTTTGATTGCCATTCCATGCTTTGTTCTGTGATGATGATGCATATAGTTGCAATTTGACCAGAACATGATTTGGCTTTCCTGAATCCAGCTTGTTCTGGTCGGAGTTCTGTCTCCAGTGCGTCCTTTAATCTCTCCAGGATGAAGATCATTAGTGGTATAGCTCAAAGTCGTTCTAAATGGCATAGATACATTCACTGTTTATGACGCCTCATAGCCAATAAACCTTCATGTTTTTTTTTCAAATTTCTCTTCGTTCTCCTATACATTTCGCTTCAGTATAGTCCTTTTGAATCTGTTTTCCTCCATTGTGTGCCACATGGAAGTGTGGCAACATGGAATACCGCATTTCTGTGCAAAGTTCTATGTTGAAACTCAGTTAGTCAGTTTCATAAATTTTTCTTATTATACGGTCAAGGGATGTGAATAATCAATAGAAGAGTTATAATATAAACACGCTTATAACTACTATTATCGGCTTATTTTTGATGCCAGTCAACATTAAATAAACATTTCAGGTATAAACAAGTTGAAAAAAGACACGAAAAAAAAATTAACAGCGGTGACATAAATAAATATAAGTTATACACATATCTTGGTTTAAAAATCAATAAGACGTGTATACCTAGGACAGGTTATCAATTGAGACATCATGAAAAACAAACAAACAAACAAACAATAGAAAGCCTCGTATTTCTGTGTATACCGCGTGGCTGTCCTTTTAGTCCCATATACAGTGATGCAGTATTATTCACTGATGATGTTTTGAGCACACTTATCCCTCATAATCATATGATTATAAGTAATAAATTGTGCTCAAAATGTCATAAGTAAATAAACAACAATGTATCATTGTGTTTTCATTAAATAAATTCATTCTATGATCAAATTATGCAGTACCATAATACCAAATTCCTATTCTTATATCTATTATTCATTTAGGTTGTTATGTATTCTATAAATTGGAGTGGATTTAAACATTCTAGAATAAAGCAAGACGGTAACTAGTTATATAGCTTAAATCAAATTCACAATTTACAATTTAATCTAAAATTTACACACTTCTTAGTGGAATTTCATCAAGTGTTTTGTGACCTGCTTCTGATCGATTGAGATGATTAGTTGTCTCCTATATACGTCAACATGTACTGCATGTTAGCCAGATCGAAGTGATTTACACGTTGGATGGTCATTTTGCTTGTTTGGGGCCGTTGAGAGTGGAAGATATGAAAAGACTAGCTGTCTTCGATCATAGGTGCCTCCGCTCTATCTCCCGTGTGAATTAATATAATAAGGTGAGCAATATTGAGGTTAAGCATCGGTCGAGTGCTAGGTAAGGAAGGGAAGTGAATCGACGAGGCTGTGAAGTTACACTGACTGAGATGGTGAGGACATGTGTTACGCATGCCTAGCCATCACTTTCGTCGACAGGCAATGTTAGCTGGCTGACCTAGCGTCAGGTTGTTAGACCAAAACAGTTAGTTCAAGCCATGTAGGAAGGTGGAGTCCTCGGGACGGTAAAAACCAATGAAGGCTGGAGACAATTGGTGATATGGCTCAAAATCGTTCTCAATGGCGCTGATGCATCCACTCCGTGTGACTTATAAAATCCAATAAAAATATTGTTCTTAGATATTACTATTCTTTTTGCCTCAAATTTCTGTTTATTATATATGTTTTGAATCTCTTTTTACTCTCTTCTCTTGCTTTGTATGCTGAGTGAAGTGTGGCGACTCAAACTGCTGCACATCGGTGCAAAGTTCTACTTTGAAACCAGTCAGTCAGATTCCCGTCGCAAGAGATACGATGAGATTTCTTGTTCTGATTATTATGACAAAACTTTGATGGTTTTTTAGCTGTACATTACATTTTGGTTTGTGGTAGATGGATCTTTGTAGGCTTCCATCTGATCCTCTTGTAAGCCGGGACATCTACGAAGGATAATTTGCCTTCTGATTCTTCTTCAATTGTAAATTCGACTGACTAATGAGCGTTGTTGAATAAATATGCAAGATTTTGTTTAGGTCAGTTATTTCATCTTTGATGATAAAGATATCATCCAATATATCGCTTGTAAACTTTGCACCGTTTGATTGTTGGTAGGCGGATATTTGACTCAAGGTATGCCATGAAGAAATCGGTGAGTGGATAGCTCTTTACCTAAAAGAAACGTTGTATGCAAACTTTTTTTATTTTGACCAACTTACAACGTAGTTTTCTCCAACTTTCATCTCTGCATATGTTATATTTATATCTGATATGTGTAAACACAATAGCACTAATTATAGAGATATTCGGTTTATATAATAAGTTATATTTTCAAGAGTTGGTTCGATCACGAACTGACTTCAGCTAGAGAACTATTGAAAACCTGGGAGTACTGGACAGTTGTTTTGTCTCAGTTTGAGACTCTTCATCAGTACTCACCCTATTACCCACCACTAGGTATCGGACCTAATCTAATACCTTCAGGTGACAAGGTGAGCTCCATTGACGATTGAGTCGCTGGAAGGAATCCATTCACCCTGGTTTTTAATACTTCTCAAACTAAAGTGAGTTCGTGATCAAATTTATAATTAAGGTTTACTTCAGTATGTGTGTGTATTTATTACTACTTTGGGTGTTAACATAAATATTCTTCTCAGAATATTCACTATATGATGAAGATTTTGTGTGTAAATCTTCCTTTTGTTCTAGCTCAATCTATTTTAGACGCTTGGATAAGACAACAGTTTCTGATTTATTTGAGAGCATTACTGTTATCTGCACAAGGCTACAGTAAGTATACTTGTTTCTTTCATTTTCAGTATAATATTATGATTTATCTAGTATTAATATAAGTCAAGATAGATAACTATTGACCTTTCGGTTACCAGTCTAGACGGTGTCCCTGTCCACCTGATTGGTGGTATTCAGACATTATTTTTAATTCTTTATTAACTGTCTGACCAATCAATCTTCAATCCTTGTGCTACTACTTCGAATTTGGCTAGACGCTATTTAACCGTGGGATGTGTGTTTTGCCAATAGTTGGTATGTTAGTTACTACTCAGTTACCTAGTACTGGCCACACTTATTGTGTTGGAGCTAATGATGCTACCTAGTTGTTTAGGCTGATGAAGTACGTGGAATGGGACTCGAACTCGGGAACCACTGGCCGAAAGTCACGTGCTTAAGTCAATGAACTGTATCTACACTTTATAGTCGATTAAGTAAGGTGAATCTTACTTTTCCACTATATTCTGTTAAATTTTCAGCATTCTTATTCCCTAGTCACCGTTTGTGTGTGTGTGTGTGTGTGTGTAATGGTGTTGTGATGTACGTTTTCTGCTTTTAATATGAAGCATAGATGTTACACATTAAATAATATATCCACACTATTCGGCGAAGTTAAACTTTCGACACCACTAACTACCAATCAGAGAATTATCCAATGAGATTCACCAACGATGTCGAATTATCCAATGAGGTTCACGAACGCAGTTCAATGTTGTTTAGCGCTTGATTCATTTCTAATGCGTGACCTTACAAAGCTATTGTTGCAATTCGAGGAGGTTAGCGTTTTCCAGTATTTCCTCGATTTGAGTTGCGCCGGAAAGAGCGAATTTGTTTGTGTGGTGGTATCATGACTTTAAAAAGCTATACCAAATCAACTGATGGGTTTGTTCATCGTTGTGCTATATGTTTGAAGCCTACTAACGCTAGAAAGAGTAAGCTGATAATTTTAATATTTCGTAGGAACTTTTTTCGCTAGGTCGCTTCCCTCCCTAAGGATAGCAGATAGAAAAGCAACTACTCTTATACCTATTATTACCAGACTTGTTAAGCGGGGGTCAATTATACACACCGACGAGTGGAAAGGCTACAATTCACTGTCATCTCTGGGATATATTCATCATAGAGTCAACCATTCAAGTGATTTTGTGGATCCCGTTACGAGGACACATACAAATTCTAATGAAGGATTTTGGGGCAGGTTGGAAAATAGGATAAGGGCTATAAATGGATCTCATTTATAGTCATTTGGATGAATATATGTACAGGATATGGTGTAACTTCTCCATTGACGGTCCCATGCTAAACTGGGAGATGTTTCTCTCACATGTTCGAGAAAGATATCCCATGTAACTTTTTTATTCTCTATTTTATGCTTTTTTCTACAAATATACATTTCCATTCATCATATATGCCTCTTTAATGTGACTGGTCCGTTCAAGGTCGTTTGCTGATTGGTTGTTAGTGGTGTCGAAAGTTTAACTTTGCCCACTCTTCAGCCTGTAATAAAAAGCATTCTGTGAATAATGTCTAGTAAATTTTCCAGTGCTTTCTTTGAAGGTAGAGTGGTAGTAGAACATAAGGTTACGTCCTACACAGTTAATCGGTAAGTTACTAGTGGAAAGTGGGTATATCAGAAAAGTTCTCTTTAGAAAACAGAAAGATTGAGCGAAGAAATATTTACTTCTCAATTAGATCCTCATCTCTGGCTCTACTCTAATATACACGTATAGCATTTTTATTACAATACACAACAGTTTACCAATCAAGTGGCACTGATATGTTTGTTAACAATAATAGTCAGTGTCAAAATGTCAATGGGTTGATAATTAACGAAGAAGAAAATCAATACACATTTAAAGGGAAGAAATGGTTAGAATAAGTTAATTTTACAAGGATAACACGTAATTAAAGATGAAGTAGTCAGCAAAAATAATAAAATAATTTGGACTATTATAGTTTTTAAAGGTTTAGGAGGAGGAAGGGAGCGAAGTAGTCCGGTTTATACATTCATGCAACGATAGCCAAGGTAAGAAAAGTGGCTGTACAAATTTCTTGTGAACACAAAGGCTTGGCTTCTTCAAGTGGATTCCTATTGCTTCAGCTGTCTGTAGAAGACGAACTCGTAGAGTAAAATTAAGATTAGTCGGAATGCGATAAATAATTTTAAATTCAGTATTAACGTCCACCTTGTGCTCACTATCTACAAGGTGTGCTAAAATAGAGCTGCGAATAGATCTTGTTTGTCCCTTGCTTAGCCATGTTGGATGATGTTCGGAAATACGATGATGAACCTGCCTAATTGTACTCCCAATGTAGTTGGCTCCACAGCTGCAGTCAAACTGGTAGATACACATAGAAGAGGCAAATTTAAGGTAGTTTATCTTTATTTTTCGAACGTAGAATACGGATGGTTGAAAAGAGACAACGTACCTCTGCTGCATAATAAGCTCTTTTAACTGTATTCTTCAGGCGCTGTGTTATTATTTCGCTGATGTTGTCACCGAGGAACTGCAGTTTTATGAACATGGGTTTTTTCGGAATTGTAACCATACTGACTCTTCTAGGTGCTGAATTCATATTTTTCTCAATGAATTTATCTGGATAACCATTTTTTCTAAGTAATTCTCTAATAACCTTGAGCTCCTCACCGAGGCAGTCGTCTGAACAGATTAACCTAGCTCTATGAACCAGACACTTTACCGGGTTGCGTTTATATTTCAAAAGTACAAAACTCAAAAAATGAATGTACTGACCTATTGTTGTAGGTTTCCTGTACACACTCCTTCTTAGTGTGCCATCTTCTTTCCTTGCCATGAAGACATCTAGGAATGAGATACTGTCATTACTTTTTTTCTCTATGGTAAAGTTTGTTGCTGAATGCACATCATTAAATTTGTCAAGGATGTTTAATGCATCATTCTCGTCTTTCATAACCAGAAATGTATCATCCATATATCGACAGTAGAAATCCAAGTCACTAATTACTCCTTTAAGTGGTCCATTCTATAACTGTGCGTCGGTGGCCCAGTGGTTAGGATTCTCGCCGACCATGCACATGGTCCGAGGTTCGATCCCCTGCCGAAGCACACCTGATATCTATGGTCGGCCTGCAAAATTTGGGCTACCGATATCCATGCTGAAAATTCCAAGCTGTAATCAAAAATAAAAAAAATCAGCCAGGACTGGATCTAATAGGGAACCCATAGCTACACCATCAATTTGTCTGTAATATTTCTTATTGAATGAACATTCATTGTACATCTTAAAATAAGTTCCTTCAAGGTGGATACGGAAATGCCGGTGTCTATGTTTCGTGTAGTAATTTCCTCACATATAAAATCCACTGTCTAAATCAATGGTACGCAGGTGAACAATGGGGATACATCAATAGATGTCATAAACTTATCATTCACATTTAGATCTTTTATATTTTCGACAAATTCAAAACTATCTTTTACACTATGTTTTACCAGTTCGTTATGCAGAGGCTTTAGGAGCTTCACCAACCATTTTGCTGCTGCTTACTATGTGCAGAATTACATGTATCCAACACTGGTCGAAGTAGCAAACCGATTTTATGCACTTTTGGTAGTCCATATAATCTTGTGTAACAGTCCTAGTAGGCTTTAAAGATTCATGTAAATTGTTTATCTTTAATTCATTTCGATCCTTATGTTTGTACAAAAATTGGTGGACAAAGATATTGGTTGGCTCTTTAAAAATCACAATGATGATACCTTTTATCATAAAGTTATGAATCTACGCCATCATCAGTGATATCATTTGTAGGACTAATAAATTCTCTGTTACTGTACCAAGCAGTGAAAATATTTTGTTTTGAATCTTTCATTTATCGTACAGAGCATTGCATTGGTGTATTAATCTTGCTAGTGATAATGATAATCAGTTTCCATAGGTTTAAAATCGTTTTGTGAAGTCAAATGCTATTTCCGTTTACAATCAATCCACTGTCTTTTACTCGGACTTTTGGAATAGTCTGTATGCTTTTCTTCCATATTTCTAACGGTATTCTATGTAATTTTATCTTAATTTTAGATTCCTCTTCATCAGACTTTCATCCAGCCTATTTAACTTGCCTCCGGTCGACAAGAAGCTTTTTACTTTGGCGTTATCAATTTTCACCTGGACAACTTTTCTCCGTCTCTGTCCCAGGACCATCACCTCAGAATATTGTGGATAACAAGTCAACTAGAGAAGAAGAAGAAGAAGAAGAAAAAGGAAATCAAATCATTTCTGAAGATTCGGAGGTATATATGTTTGTTCAACTTTTCGTTTCCTTTTGTGTAGGCTCATGGTCTGTTAAATTCTATTGGCTACTTAGTTTGTTTGCATTTGGAAAGGGTGTGTTTTCGTGTATCTACTAATTTTGCAAACTTTTGTCGATACTCTTGTTTTTATTGTATATTTTTTCCTTTTACTAACTAAATTTATCGAAAGTATTGATTCCATTGTGCCATTTGATGAAATCATTACGCAGACTAGTAAAAAAAAAGCAACGATACGTAATGTTGATGTTGTGAATTGTGTGAAATGGCATAGATTTTCGTTCATCAGTGATTCTTCCTAATAGTCGCAAATCATGATATCTTTAGTTGCGTATATATTTTCAATTCTTCACTTTTAACTGGTTGCGTATATTTTTTTAGTTTCTGTAGTATAATACGATGTTAGTCGACATCGGATGTGTTTGGAAAAGATTTAGGTGTGATGAAATCGAATCCTGGGATCAGTCAATAAAGGCTTTGGCTGTTGATTTGAGCGAGCCATATATGAAATGGTATACTGGTTAGGGATGGTGAGATGCTGAGGAGCAATGGATGGAGACTGTTAGTGGAATCGCTTGAAGTCATTCTCAATGACTTGGATGCGTTGACTCTCTATGAACTCCCAGATCCACTCAATCGTCATTATTCTCCACATAACTGTTCTTTCTCGCCTGCATTTCCGTTCATTACAGTTCTTGTGAATTACTTCTCTTTTTTGTGTGCCACCTCTATGCGGCATGGCTGTCCCTCAAATAAGTGTAAGGAAGAATGCTAGCATCCTGGTACTTACAGTCAGACTGGTGGATATTCATGTCTAACTAAAGGATCTGGAAAATCAATATTGTACTTGGGCTACAGAACGGATTAAGTGGAGTATGAACTTGTTTTGTGACAAGAAACTATGGTAACGCAGCTTTTCACCCTGCTCCACTGCCTTGTAGACCGGAATTCAAGTCAATGGCTCGAACGATGGCCCCTTAAGACAATCACCTGCTGCGATCTGAGTATCCAAGCTGTATTCCAACTGAGATTTTTTGTGGCGCTTATCTTGGTATCCATAATATGCGAATTTCGTTTTAATAATTAATAATAATTAATTAATAATAATTTTGTGTGCTATATAGTAACTTGAACTAGTACACTTTTGTGCAACCTTATGCGTTGACAATTCGGTCATTCAATCTGATACATATGAATCAGTCAGTTTTAATATTATTCATGTTTACTACTTACGATTTCAGGGACAATATGCATACTGTTACCGTCCCTTCTGTTTCATATATATATATATATATATATATATATATATATATATATAACTCTTCTACTTTGCCATTCTTGACTCTCTCCAGTCTTTCTTCGGAATGAACCACAGTTTGTGATTAATATATTATGACAAAATATGATACTCAGAGCTTAAACCAGCACTTAAGCACACGACTTTCATTTAGCAGGTGTGCAATTCAGATCGTGCTTAACCTACTTCAACCTGGATAACTGGATGGTATCATTAGTCCTTACAAAACAAGTGTGGCTTGTGGTCTGTTACATAAAAAATCAGGGAGTTGTGTCTGTCACTTACTTGGGCAGCATCTTTCTAACTGCAGGTTACGCGGGTCAGGATATCAAAGTTAATCAGGATCGGAAAAGCAAGATAGGAGTTCATCACTCTGAAATCATTGTGGAAGTGTTCAGCACTTATTAAAAAGAACAGAATCCGAATTTCAAACACGATGGTTAAGTCAGTGCTTCTATACGATTCAGAGACTTGGCGCAATCATCACTGAAAGCGTTTCCAGCTGGCTGCACACTTTTATCACAACCTGCTTTCATCTGATACTGATTATCAGACGGTGGGAAAGAATAGACAATGACAAACCAATCAACCATCTATGGCCTAACAAATATGTATTGCGTCGGTGGCACAGCGGTTAGGACTATCGCCGACCATGCACATGGTCCGGCTTCCGACCCCCTGCTGACGCACACCTGATATCAATGGTCGGCATGCAAAATTTGGTCTACCTATATCACATGCTGAAAATTCCATACTTGTACCGGAAAATACAGTGTGGAATCAAGCTGTAATCAAAAATTAAAAATTATTAGAAAATGGAGATGTATTAATTATACACTGAGTAGATCGTTAAGTGACATTACTCGTCACGCAGCCAAGAGGAACCCGAAAGGCGAGTTGGGCGTCCGAGGTTGACTTTAGACAAATCAAATGAAGAGGAAATGAAAGCTTACAGGCAGTCATGGAACGTACCATCGATCATATTAGTTGATAGTATGGTCAGGTAATAACAGCTCATGAAATATTGTATCTCTTACATAAGTTCACAATGAACTGAAATCACATTGAAGAAAAATTGCCCATCAGTGCATATATAACGTACATTCCACTAAATCATAGAAATTTATGGGCATATTAACTTTTGGTATGATAAATGTATTTTTAAAGAAGTGATTTGTCCAGTTTTTGTTCAAACATCACAAACTGGCTATTTCAAAATTTCTAAGGATCAAGTAAATCCTGTCACAATGGGGACATAGTTATTCTTATTATACACATTAATATTGGTTATGGTTAGTGTAATCAAGTCGATATATTATTCATTAAAAGATTGTTAATTAATATGTTCTTACTCTTTTTATATTCATGTTGTAGTCATTACAATTAAAGTATTCGTGCACAACTTCTCCGGATTCAGTGGCTGCTGTAGTTTCTCAGCATCCTGGACGTAAACTCACTGACGCCGATGATTTAAATCAAATTACTGACGGTTTTAAAAGGTTCGTTGATGTAATTTGTGTAAATATTTGATAATTGAAAAGCAGGATTAATTGAATCCACAGTGGTAAAATGGTCGCTAATCAATTCGTGTGGTTCGGGGTTCGATCCCCGGCCACAGATGCAGTCCTTTGCTTCGCTAAGCCAGTAATAAGACTGGTTAAAAGGGAAGGTTGGATATGAGGTTAGCAATCCCATCCCATAAAAATAAACATCACTGCTACCAAAACTTCAAATCCCTAGCTGTGAAAGCCCTATGTTCCACCGGGAACATAAAGGAATAAAGAAAAATAAACTCAACTTTTCTGTTATCGACTACGTCTTTTGATTGTACATTAGGTAGTAACTAGTGTCATGAGTCATCTAGTCCTTTGTTTGGTGCAGACTGATTGCTCATTGTAGCTACTGTAAGTAACATTCGCTACGTTTTTATTCGTATTTTAGTAAATTTATGCATCAGTTATAGAACCAAACAGGTGATCAACTAGACGCCCATTAAAAATAAAGCAAATCTGAATCGCACTTTTGTTTTAATTTATTATCATCTTTGAGTAGCTATCCTGACCCGACTTTTGGAGAAGTTCATCTTAAAGCCAATCAATAATGATTTTTATTAATATTGTTCCAATGAGTGTTCCGAGTGGAACATGGGCTTCAACAACACATCTCCACTTTTTCCTACTTTCTGCTATCCCCCTTAGCTGGACCCACGATTTCTCATAGTCTCTTATCTCTTCCTCTCACGATCATCTCCATGTTACCCTTGGACTCATACCCAACCTGCTGTTTCATATTGGGATTCCACTCGATTAATTAATGATTAATTGGCTGATATTTGCCAGGTTGTTACAGATTTCGATAGATAAACCTTTTATGTTTAGTTTATAATTTCAGACAAAAATTAAATAACATCCTGCACTAGTTTGGTTTTGAAAAACGTTCGTCAATATAATTAAAGTTTCGGAAATTTAGTACAGGTATATTCAATTTTTGGATGAATGTAGAGCCAAGTTATTTTTGTCAGTGTACCATTCGTATTTTTTAGGTAACGCTGCAGCCTACCGTCACAGAGGAAGTTTGTGAATTTATTCATATGTTGAGTTTCTCACTACTATCTATTATTCATTTTAACCAGTATCCACTAGATATGAAGACGTAATACTGGTGAAAAAAGTGTTCAGCGTTCTCGAGGAATGGCAAAATCATAAATTTTTCAGATGTAGTGATTTCAGCTATAGTGCATGCATTCTACCTGGATATATAATTACTGAGTTAAATACAATAATTTAAGTTGTTATCATTATTGATTATTTTCGTGTGATTAGATAAAGGCATTACATATACATTACAAAACAAATAAATGTATAATATTATGCAGCGTGAATATACACAGTGTATCAGCATATTGTTTTAATTTTTCACCTTCTTAGATTAGGAAACATGGCTGCTGATCAAGGTCGTAAGATTGTCAGTCAAAGTGTCGCTGGTCTTGTAAAACTTGGCAGTAAGTTTAAAATGTATTGTAAAGATACTTTTTGTAGTCTGATTTTAAGTTAGGGAGTAGAGTGATTGATCGATCATGTTGACCATTCCGCTTTTGTGGGAATTTGCATCAGTCCTGATGAACGGATCGATGACGAAATAACAGTATATATATATAATCTCTGGCGTAGGCGGGATTTCCGGTCATTGATTAACGTGTGCGTGGGCTGCACAGCAGCTCACTCCATCTATTTTTGATTGCACACTAGTCAGTAACCAGTGTAATGTGTCTAGTCCTATCTTCGATGCAGAATGAATTCTGTCAGTCAAGCTTGCAATGTGGGCACCATGCTAGGTGGCTCGCCATTACGGTGCACTGTGAAATGTTGGTATTAGATGGTTGGAGACAATCGGCAGGAAGCTTTGAACCTAGGTTTCGTGCTAGTTGGCAATCATCAGCAAGGCGTATCTGCACTGATAGAATTCAGTCTGCACCGAAGATAGGACTAAACACATTACACTGACTAGTGTGGAATCAAAAATATCTAATACAGTCCTATAGGAGGTCAATCGCGAGCCCGAATAGCTCAATAGTAACGTCCCTGACTACAGAACTCACTGGGTGACGCGGGTTCGAATCTCAGAAGGGACATGAGTTCCTTCAAGGTTGTAGATACGCCTTGCTGATGAGTGCCAACTATCACGAAACCTAGGTGAAACAAGGCTTCCTGTGGCCTATTGCCTCCAGCCATCTAATATCACTCCATCTATTTTTATATCCGTGAGAGATAGCTGCTGAAATCGGAAGACTTAAAGTGGCTTGTTATATTTCACCATAATTGTCTGCATAATATGTCCCGTGTTATGGGGTTTACTATGGTGAGTAATGCTGAGGCTTTGCGTAGGGTGTTAAGTGATGAGGGCAAGTCAGGCGATAAAATTATGCAGCTATATCAATCAAGATGGCTTAGATACGCGTTACATATACCGAAGCATCGCACTCCTCGTCGAAAAATTTTTTCTGACATAAGATTAGGTTGGAAAAGAGAGTAAGGGGTTGTCAAATCAAAACATGGAATCATTCTATGATGTCTTCGGTTTGAACCAGTGACTTAGGGAGGGTTGAACTATCTGGCAATGGATGCTGAGGTGCTGGGGAACAATGTCTGTCTGTCTGTTTTCGACATAGAACTTTGCACAAATGTGCGGAAGTTCAAGTCGCCACACTCCGTGTAGCACGCGAAGCAAGAGAAGAAAGTACAAGAAAAGCATAATAGAAACAGTGAGCAGAGGTGTGAGACAATGGAGTAATAAAGAAAAACAAAACAGTTTCATTGAAGATCATAAGTCACAAGGAGTGGATGCATCTGCGCCACTGAGAACGATTTTGAGCCATGTCACCAATTGTTTCCAACCATAGATTTTTACCGTCCCGAGGACCCCAGCCTGGAAGTCTACACCTTCCTACGTGGCTTAGACCAACTGTTGTGGATTTCATTGACTGGTGCCAAGTTTTTGTTTGACCGCCGCTAGCTTTTTTCCAGCCTGACCCCTATATCTGCTAAGATTGCTCGTCGGGGGAGGCGATGGCTTGGCATACGTAACACACGTCCTAACCATCTCAGTCTTTGTAGCTTCACGACTTCGTCGATAGATTTCCCCTGTTTACCTAGAACTCTACGCCTAACCTCCATGTTGCTCACCTTATTATGCCACTTTACACGGGAAATAGAACGCAGGCACCTATGATCAAAGACAGCCAGTCTTTTCATGTCTTCCACTCTCAGTGGCCAGGTCTCACAGCTGGCCATAAAGGAGGACGGAGCGGACTGATGAGCAGTACACCCGCCCTTTGGTTGATAGTCGAACATCTCGTCTACGCCAGAGTCGGCGGCTGGGGAACAATGGCTGTCGACATGTCTCGAAACAGTTCTCAGTGACTCAGATGTGTTTACTCCTTGTGAGATCCCAGGATTATTAAATTCTCACTTTTCTACACTTAACTACTCTCTCCTCGATATTATTTATTTATCTTATTGGTTTCATTAACATGTGAAGGCACACGTTGTCCCATTGCTGTAGAACAATTTTATCTGGTGACCTGATTACAAGAGGAATGGTGTGATTGTCATTAATATTGTTGCTATCATTATTATGACATGCCTCAGAGGCTTGTTAAACATGTGTGGGACATCGTACTATGATTATCTCACGTAAAACGGAAGAGAATACAGATCTGAATGGGGTGGATTATCTTACTGTCCAATTGTTCGATCCTAACCTTGATCAACTAAGTGATTATTATTGTTATTATTAGACCACAAACTTGGTACATTATGGACACCAAAAGATGTGCCACACATATCTTATGGTTTGTACGAGGGCTGGGATACTACTTAGACATGCAGACCTAATCAAATGGTTATTTCAATCAGTCACCCTGATTTGAATTTTGATCCTCAAGGCAGTGAAGTCGTGGCAGAAGCTACATTCCCAGACTAGGGGGTGACCAAAATAGGGTCCCATATCCACCATTGGTTTGTAATCGGCGTTTTATTAACTCCCGTAGATAGACCTTCATATTTACCAGTACGATTGTAAGCACTAGATGTTTGCGTTCTCCCTTTCACTTTTGTGAGCAGGACCTCCACCTCATGAAGGCAATGTATACGACTTATCTGGTGGCAAGGTCTACGAATGCGCGGTCACATGAGACCTAACTCATTCGTTTATGCGTCAAAAATCCTTTGCTCCAGAAATCCTCCCACTAGTTTATCCAGCTGTGTATAACAGGAAGTGTTTAGTCTATTCCACTTTATTTCAATATTTAGTAATGATATAAAAATGTATAGGATAGCTTATTTAAACGAAAATCACAGTTCTTTATTTAGTCTCTCAATGCGCTGAGTGTTTGATCTTCTCCGAGGAAGCACAGTGTTAGATGTAAATGAAATACACCTAGTGTAACAACAGGAGACAAGGGCCAGGCAACAGATCGTTTATTAAGGAAATCGACACATATTTATTTATGTATATTTCGTGTACATTATTATAGCTTATTCACGCAAACAAACACAGCCTTCTGATTGGTTGTTTCTCACAGACAGTTGACCTTGCATCTCTTTGTGACTGTTTCTTGAATATCAGATCATCTATATGTTAACTGTATCTGTCTGCGCAAAGTCTGCTGTGATTGGTTGTTGAATCAGTCTTGTTCATATTTTCTCACGACCAGTATTTGCGACATAAACATTGACGTAAATTAATGTTTACCAATTTTGGCTAGCAGCCTGCTCTCACTACACTAGTAATGGACTTTGCGAATTGGTTTTATGTTTTTGTCGAAAGTATAAATATATTCACATGTCAGCCTATTATCTAAGAATTTAAGTGTTGGTTTTTAGGGATTTGATTAGTTACAGGATTTCATCATGAGTCGGAAACATAGACTGGCGGTCACGCTATGTCGTGAATAGGCAGAAGTTAGAACTCATGCACCGGCCATTGGATCGGATCCCAGTGGTTTGATGGTCTACGAGCTCGCTGGCCTTGTAACCAGGAGGTCCTGGATTCGAGCCCTGTCGATGAGTGCGTACTGATGGAGAGTCCCAGACTAGGACGAAACAGATGGCTGTCCAGTACTCGCAGCTGGTTTTCCTATAGTTCTCTAACCAATGTCAACTCATGATGAAGTCTTGTATCTAAGAGTTTTGTTCATTTTATTTGACGCTGAAGCTATGAATGACATAATGACCATCTACTCAGGTTGAATTCTTAAGATAAAGTATCATGTATGATATAGTGTCGTATAACTTATCGTAGTGGTTATAGTGTATTTTTTCCTCGCAATTTTCTGGATCCAATCCGTACTTATATAGAACTAGTTTTACATTAAATTCAATATAAAACGTGACTTTCTGTTAATTTTGTTGTTGTTGTTGTAATTTTTCAGGCGAATTCAATTCAACATTTCGTGCATCATCATCATCGAATTTTATGTGGAAATTTTCAGATGCCTTTAAATCTGTTATGCTGAATCCATTGTCAGCTAATACTTCTGTTATTCTATCACCTGATGGTAATCCAGAGGACGTGAATATTAAAAGCGATTTGTAATCTTTCTTTTTTTTTCATGTCATTAATCAAAACGATATCTTCAAGACACACTAGGTTAACTAAATAACCATTTCCAATAAATTGATGTTGTTTTTTCTTGCTCGACGGCTGTGAAAGTGTTCTTCACCATTTATTTATTTGACCTTACACTGTCTTTTCTCTTCTTACTTTTTTAAATAAAAAGAACTTCGCGAAAATTCTAAACATGATATTTTACTATTTTTCTAAAGTTATCAATATTAATTATTCTATATATGTGATGTGTTTTCTGTTCAATGCATTTGTACAAATCTATATCCTACACTGCTTTTTACGCGTCTGTATCTCATGCTTCTGTTGTTCTCTAACTGTATTTGAAAATAAATTTATCAATAAGCAGTTGATCGGCTTCTTTTCAGTAGACAAATATCAAGCTTCTAAGATGTATATAGTTATCACGTTTAGAATGTTATTGATTTCTTAGATATAATACAGCATATAGAAACCCGACTAATTATCGTCAAATATTAATTGTTGTCTGAGATGTAAGAGTAACACTTTGTTCGCATCACATACTGAATTCTTTAGACTCATTTTTGAACATGCAAATAGAAGGTTACTAGGTGATATCGTCGTATTACTCCTAAGTATGTGAAGTGGTCAACACACTCTCTACCTTTAAACTGGGAGTTGGTGCATATCAGTCATGCAGCATATTCTCACACTTAACAGAGGATAACTTCATGTCAAACATACCAAGATTTCTTTTCAAAGTGTTTAGAAAACTATGTATTTTGATAGCGAATTCATCTAGGAGGATCATACCATCTGTCTACATTAAGTTGACGAGAGTGTTTTCTGATAAAACATCACTTCTTGTGTCGCTGAATTCGATTGGTGTCACATTCATTAGCATATCTGAAGTGAATTTAGACAAAAATGGAGATTTGGGCATTTCTGACAACCACCCTTGATTGTGATCAATCCAGATGACAACTGCCATAAGCTCTTACCCAGATGCGTGAGTTCGTGTAGAATGCCTTGGTTATTGCGAAGAACTTCCTCGAAACACACGCCGCTTTGCCTCGTTACAAGTCGGAGACTGCTTTCGCGACATCAGTTACATTTGGGAGACCGATGTCTATATCACATACAGGCAGGCGTTCGATAGTGTTTAAGTCTTACCTTGTCAACAGACCAGATAAATTACTCCTCATAGTGTTTCCGCCAACGTTCTAGTTGTTTATCCTGAAAGGTAATTAAAGTGACATTGCGCTTGTCATTTTTTTAACTACCCTTCCCCCCTAAAGGGTCTGAACATCTTTTGGGTGCTGCCTACCACTGATATCTTTCTCTTTCGTTTTTCTCGCCCACCAATATCTCAATGTTTGTGAAGACTTCTAGTCAGTTAGAGTTTGAACAGCTTTTCTTTCTCGCCAGGTTTGAAGCCCACTGGATTTAGTCTTATTGGATGAGGAGACTTTAGTTATTCGTGATTACTAACCTTTAGCTTCAGAAATTGTGCAGCTTTTAATACTGTTTCTACTACTGATGTGATGTTATACCAGACTCCTTCAGAATAGGTGAAACGTCAGAACAAAATTAATTTCAAGGTATATTTTGGTTCATTTTTCAGAGAATTGATTTTCTGACTTTTATTTCACAAAAACGAACAACATAATTAAAGTTTGTTCCCAGTATTTTTTCGTGAATGAACCCAGTTCACTAGCACACTCAATTCTACAGTATGCAGTGCAACTTGTTTTATATATGTCTGTTACAACATATGACAATGGTAACTTACCAGTCAAACACCGCTTTTATTTTCCCAACCAAGGATGTCACGTAATGGTTATCTATCCTCGACTAAACACTCATCGTCCAAAGCTTACCAAGTATTTTCGCACATTTAAGCATGAAAAAAGTATACTTCCTCAGTGTAGTGATTCATGCAGTAGTTTGAAAAGTATAACACATGAAACCAAGGACCTTCACTGTCGCTGGTGCCATAATGTGTAAGGTAAGTCTGCAGATTGTTGTAAAACGATTTTTAGGAGAGGTAGGAGGTTATGAAAGATACGTTATGTGCAAATGCAAATGTTTATCCTTCAACTCCCAAAGTACTTACTTTACTTCGACTAAGCGCAAGTAAAAAGTGGTCGTCCAAAATATGAGATGCATTTCGGAATCAGAATTTCAGAATGTTGATGATTGCTTAGGTCGTCAAGGATTGTGAGTGAACCAGTGAACGTAATCCGACAGCATCCTAGATGGCGTGGATGCTCGGTCGTATACCCTCAGTTTAACATGACAATCTCAGCAGTGAAGGCCAGCATCCAGTGTTGAGTGAAGAATTCTGTGGTCTTATTATTTTGGGAGATTATTTACTGCTATATCCTGTATTTTATGCGGGAATCTGAAGACTTCTCAAGCTAGTAACCATAACAGGTGGGGGCTACCAGAAGAAAATAACCGGGAACAACCTATTTTTAAATTGCATGATGCAAACAGAAAGGCTATGGCAACCCTCGAAGTAAGGTACATTTAACTGAGCGTAGGTATACGTAAATCTATTCAGTGAATTTCACCCCTGGCTGGCGTCAAGACACCTACTGCACCTGGCACTACCCAATCATGGATGCCCGATGACGAATAGCGATTAACCCTACCATCTAACTATCTAATAAAGGAACCATCTGCCTAGGTCTAAGCCTGTGTTTTAGTAGGTTGAAAATGTTAGTCCATCCAACTTTTCAACGTTTAGTCGACAAGCATTTGGAGCACAGTTGTCCCAAGAACATCCAGTCAGGAAAACTTATGACCTTCAAGGCAAGGCAGTTAGCAACCCATCGGGGTCCCTGCTCCATACTGTAACAAGGACGGGCAGCAGTGACTGACGACCCACGAGTGAAAACGAACACCTGAACGCCAAGATTGCCTCAACCCGTTTTTCGCTGACAAATATCCACAATTTAGTGGCAACGTTGTGTGAGGCGACCACCTGTTTCGAAATCTAACTGAGTGAAGCTTAAGCAAACGAATTTCTTATCCACGAGGTGCTCTGAGTCTTGACTCTTGACACATGCATCTGGCTCATCGTAATTGCAAATTGCGAAACCTAACAGCGACTCTCGGTCTTGGTCTTGGGGAAGTTGCGTCATGAGAGGGGTTGAGGTGGTGTTGCCATAAAAATATTTCCATATATCAAGTGGGTGGCGGAATACCTATGTTTCTTGGCCATATTGCTATGCGAAGGATATGCATCCAATGACCGTCAGGATGGGTATTTGGAACTTTCTGTACCAAAATCTAGTGAAAAATCTTTGGACTTTCAGTTGGTTACCGACTCATTACTGTTCTTTACTGCAGCACAATAAAGCAGGATCCGGTATAACTTGCTCGATGGATCTGCTAGAAATGCTTTCGATTAGGTTACTAAGCGATTGAGAATGACTACTCACTTAAATAACAGGACCTCACGTCACCTCCGGTAAACTCGAACAGCGAATCTGGCTCTGTATTCTAGGCGGCTTCACATCAACTGGTCAACAATCGGTGGAAGTCATTTTTTCGAAGTGGTTGAGATACTATCCTTGCCTGGTTATATGTCACTTTCGAAATTCATCATTATCGCAGACCGTAAGTCACGCACATACTCTTCGAACTCAAAGTTCGACAGATGTTTGCCGAGGAGTAAAGTAGACTAAATTTAACGTTTCATCTTAGCTATTCGTCATTCAAAGGGGTCAGTTACACTGTAAAACACTTTTTTGAATGTCTGCCTCGTGGAATTTGTCTTTGAAAAAAGACAGCAACCCCCGGTGACGACAGAAAACGTTAGGTACTGACAAGGATGTTTCCTATGGATACTCATCATCCTGTCGATGCGTTTTGTTTGTGAAAAAATATCGCGCTGTGGGTTCGAATTTTCTTTTATGCACCATGACGCGAATTCAGCGCCATTTTACAACTCTACATGTAGTGCGTGCATTAGCTTACAAAATAAGGGTTTTTCGGAGTTCTCTTCCATTTTATCGTGCACGTACTTTAAACTTCAAACACATTCCTTGCAATCCTTTGCTGACAAAGCATTCTGTTATCTCGCTTAACTCTTGTAGCCACAACTGTTACTCAACAAGAAGCAAACCAAGTACGACAACTCACAGACATATTTATAACAAATCCTCGTAAATAGAACACATTAGCCTAAGCAAACTAACTAAGGGCCACCCACTGCCACTACAATTTCGGCAGTTTTACTAATGCATTCACTATAAGATCCCTCCTTCCGATAATCAGGATCTGGATAATGAGTTAAGATTAATAAGTCCACAAATTTATTGGTCCACTGCTTCCATCTTTCAAATTAGACATTTGACTAGCACATCCAACAAGGGAATGTACTTTTGATGTACATATTATATTAAGTAATAGCGACAAATCTGCTAAGATATTCGAAAAGTTTCTGAAAAGAAATGGAAAGATCATGCTATTAATAATAATCAAAATTCAGAATTTGGCTTCATTGGAGAAAGGATGCCTCAATGTGTAAAAGTAAATACAAAATTCCTACAAAAACGTTGAAAGCAAGGGATTAGAGTAGACTTTTACTTGATATTTAAAACATTGCAAATCTTGTTTATAATTATCACTTTCAAGGTCATCACTGTTGTAGGTTTGAGTGTATGTTTTGAAGCAATAGAAAATGTGAGTAAGAATGAGCTTTCGAGAGAACACAAATTTAAGCAGCGCCCAGGCATTTCTCTGCAGGTGCGGCATTGTCACTTTGTTCACATTTCTTTAGATCAAAGTCTCTGTATGATGGGACGAAGTCAACGATGCGTTTATCCAACTTAACATCCAAAATAAAAACAGTATCCTCTACACTAGCAAATACGAATCCTTTCGGTGGAAAATCACAAGATAAAAGCATCGCAGAGGAGACCTTAAATGATGGTAAGTATCATGGTCTTCATATAGGGTTTCTTTTCATGTCATTCCGTGTTAATTTGGTACACAAATCTTTAAGTACTATCCGAAACGATATGAGGTTTGTAAAAACCTTAAATTATTTTTAGTACTGCGTTTATTTTAAACAAAATTAAGGACTTCGCATTGAGACTTTTATAAAATAATGGAGTATTAGTTGTAATTTTCACCGCCGAATGTAATTACATATATAATAGATTTTATTTTATTCTGGAATTATAGGCATCGTGCTATCCATTCTGCAAATGTCTTAAGTGGTTTGAATGACTTGGGATCTGACTAGTATTTCGCTTGTTTCTTGATATTCCATACTGAGGAAATGATTGACGATTTTCATTGAATATCTTTGTTTAATTTAGAAAGATTAAACCCTAAGGCCATAGGGGAATTAAAAAATTGCAAAATATAACAAACCAAAATTATTCAATGGCTTTATATTTAATAGGCATATTGGAACAAGTAAATATGGAAGGTTATTTAGAATTAACCTGCTGTTGACGACATCGTCGGTAGCGGCATGATGATAGTGGTATTATTCTGGATAAGGCTTGATGCCCCGTAGATCAGCAAACATTTGGTTATAATTATTGCTTAAATTCCTGTAGAGTGGGGTCTTCTGGGATGTAGGACCATACGAATAAAAAAACGTATCTTAAAATCCGTGTTCAAGGATTAGATTGAATGAAGCACAGCACCATATGAATGCAGTAGTAAAGTGAAATGCTAAGGATAATTAATTCGATGTCTCAACAACAAAAATATTCATAATAATATGACAATTAGAGTTGAGTCTGGTCTCATGTGTAGCGAAAATCAACTGCTACAGAAGAAGTAATGTATCTGCTTCTCAATATATGGGCGTTTTATGCGGTGGGCATTGGACCGAAATTGTTTAAACACACTAAATTTACTTACCAAGTTTCATAAAACTACTGAGAACTACTGAGAATTATTTTTGCGATTCGATATATTTGGTGTCTCATAATAAATCAAAATATTTTCTTCAACTTATCTTGATATTTCGGAATTACTTTTTGACTTCTTTTGACAGAGAGCTACTGTCTTTCACTTTGACTGCTCTATTATTAGTTGTTCTAGCTGTAATAATCCATTTTGTAGAAATTTGATTGAGCAGCAGTCTGAAATCATCGCTAACACTAGCTTGTATAAGGCAGTAGCACACACTCTGGTTTGGTAATATTCCATATAATCTTAGTAAATTGTTGTCAAACAAAATGAAAGCTTGTACACTCAGAAATTTTGGAAGCTGAGTTATATGAATCTGTCATGATCTTTGAACATACGAAGAAACCGGACAACATGCAATAAATTGGTGAAACATTAGGTGACGATAACAAATATTAGATCGGATTGTAAGAAAAAGAGACACTAGTAGAAGTTGTTACATGCTAATTTCATCAGAATCTGCCTGTAATTACCAGACTAAGAAAGCCAAGAAGGTGATTTATAATGTCCTCATTTATTAATCCAAACTTCAGAGTTTTTCTATTGAGTCACATTTTTCTCAAGACCTAAATGGCATTGAGATGGTGGAACATTTGAAAAGATTTCTTGACTTTCGAATAGCTTACATCAACCACAAGACACTTGCAGTACATGTGTGTCATTCTTTCACCTAAAGTTATATGCTAACTGGCAACCTATGGTAGTGAAGCTGAAGTTCAACTGGTGTATTTCTGCAAGTGAGTAGTAAGAAGTCGTATGTATAGAAGACTTGAGTCTTGTAAGTACTATCAAAATTTCAGCCCAAAAACTATTGGATCCCTCAGAAAAGTTTATCACCTTACAAAAGTGGTCCCTTATTTTTTAAAGACTTTTTACCTTTGATATCATGATTACACTTTTGTGAAATACAAAGAAAGTGTTCACTACTCACTAGTCCATTAACTTCAAAAGCAGCTACTATAATTTCAATTTCAACTTTGTCTGTGGTGATAAAAGCGGGTTTTCACTGTTACAAGAATATCAAGTTCGTGGGAAGTTGCAATCGAACAATAATATTACGTGGGACAGAACAGATTACTACAATGGAAAGTCATAGTAGTCTACGCCCCCTTGATTTATGCGGGATCTGTCCTTCAGGATGACAAAAAATGATTGACTGGTTATTAGATAAAACTGTAAATGTGAAAACTAGAAACATATGTCCGTCTTAGTCTGCACGATGGTGCATTTTGGTACTAGCTCTTGCAGATTAGTTGCAATCTGCTGGCTTGCATATTACACGTTTTAAGATTTATTGTTATGGTAATGAAACTTCCATAAATTCTTATGTACATAGTGAAGTATGAAGATTCAGCGTCTATTCTTGTCAATTTGACATCAAAAGACCAAATCCAGTTTCGGTAGAACCACTGCTGAAACTAATATTGAAGATACAAAGTGTATAGTAGGCGGTTAAAATTCAGAGGGTAGCAAAATGCTCCAGAAAAACTGAGTTGTGTTTAGTTTTCATTCGATATATGTATCTCAATGTTCATCTCTTCAGAACTCTCACTTCTTGTACTCAAAATTACAAACTGCATAAATTTTATAAAAGAGACTTATGGCGTTTGAGCGAAAAATGTTTGCATCTCACAAGCAATGATTTAGCGAATGTCTTATGCAAAATGATTTACTGAAGTGATATAAATTATTACTGTGAAGAAGGGCTTTTAAGATAAGCCAATAAGTATATGTGCTTCGGAAAATTCTAATTTTTCTCAGAGATTGTGGTTTTTTGAGAAGATGTCGTATTCAATCTCACTTGAAAAATACTTACTGCAATATAAGAGCTTTTGCGATTCAAAGTTACTGTAAGCCTTTCAAAATTTATTAATTGGCTTAAGTTTTAATTGACAAAATTAATGCGACAAGCGAAATATTGTGTCAGTGCTCTGCATAACTATGATTTTCCTCGCTAAATATCTTACATTTATTTTCCTTGAAAAATTAATTGTCTGCCAAACATTGTAAAAGCAATTCACAATCTACTCATGGAATTTCCATCACCCAAAGGTCTTCTACTATTGTAATGACCAAAACTATCTTCAGTGTTTAATGCCGTAAAATTTTCACTCAACTGAAGATTTGTATACTGGTAGTTTGATTTTGTTTGTCTTTTAGTTTAAAATATTTAAGATTCGAGATAAATCTAATTTGTGGTGAGCTGGTGAAAATTGATTCATATCTTCAAAAACAATCTAGAAGCGTACGATTTCTAACCTTGACATCTTGCAAAACAAACAATCTACTATAAATAATCTACATTGCTCACATGGGCAGTTATTAAACCTGGTGTCAGTGTTAATTAGGAACTGTTTTATTAACCAACCAACACATGACAACAGCTCATGCTCTGTGAAACAGAAAATACGAATAATTCAATTACCGAAACTAACATATTCAAGTAATTTGTCATTGTAATTCATGTTTTATTACTTCGTAGATTTGACGTTGTTTTGACGAGATATACTTCCTAAATGTTGCTACGGTATATTACTGTCATAAAGTTATTGGTCAATCTCATGTGAATGATGAATGAAGGAAGAAGTATGAACTCGTCAAATAAACTTCTTGTAAAAAGCCTAAATATGTTTTTATTGAAGTGAACGACTGCTTTCGTTACTCAAGACATGATAAAAGACTTCATCAGCACACCGTAAATACTACTGATAAAGAAAAAAGGCAGTAGATACTTAGTTACAGCTAACAGAAAGAAGTTCGCATAGTTCGTATTATTACTATTATTCCCTTGGTTTTCAAGCAAAATAAATGCTGTTGGTGACATCATAATATCCACTTCTTCAGTTTGCTTGTGGTTGTCGTCTAGGTGACTGAAGTAGATTGTCCACACTACAGTTAACAGTTTGGGGCGTCCATATCCATTCCATTCGCTCTCACAAATTCCTAGCACTTCTATGACATCTTATTGCATAGGCATTTTGAGCACCCTTCTCAGTTTGGAACACTGTGTGAACATTCCATGTCCCCAAGCTTATGTTTGCTTTCATTGAAAGGAAGCACATCGACTGACTGGCTTCCCGAAGGCTTTCACCAGCCCACATCATTTCGCCTCCCTGATTCCAGAGAAGAACAAGCTTGTCTTTTATATTTTATTTGTGCTTTGAAGTTTCCATAGAAATTGGATTGATTTTCCAGGGTCGGATCGCTAGCCCCACACCAAACCTTCCCTCTTTTTTTCGGGTTTAAGACTGGCTGGTAAACCAGTGAACTAGTAAACCTGGTGAGGTTTCATTTAAGGGTAGAAAGAAATAGATTGTTTAGAATACTTAATGTCGTCAAAACTTAAGAGACCTGTTAATTGTATGGGGAAGCCAGCGAAACAAACATCTAATTACTATTGGATAAACCAGCCATTGAATAAATCATTCGGAAGATATTTTAAGATATTCTCGTGTTAAGTTCATTCCTATCAAACTGGACCACACATTAGCCTGTATCAGTTTACTAGCTGGAAACAGAATCTACCAACCAGTAAACTGTAAGGTACAACTGTTGTATTGCCTAAAATAGAACAGAAGCAGAATCAGCATATCTATCTCCCTACTGAGTTTACTCATTATATCATCGGCATAAAAGAAGTAAGTGAATGAACAGCAAGAATGTTCAAAGAATCCTTTCACTTTGTACTCATAGGTGTTTCTTCTTTCAGTAATATTAATTTGGAGAAATATTCACCTTAGATCATTTTCAAATCGCTATCGAAATTCTGTTTTAAAAGCATTTATTAGAGCATTTATTGGCTGACATTTTAGAGAAAGAAATGGTAAAGTACATTTGTTTGAAGTTTAAGTAGACTTCTAACCTAGTTTGTTTTTGTTTATTGTCTTAATGGGAAATTTATATTTCTATATTGTGAGAAATATTTGGAGTCAGGTGATTCAAATAAAAAAACCGTCGTATAAAACATATTTTCTACTCAGGCTAAAAAAAGGGCGTTTGAT